TGACCAAATGGTAAACAGACACCTACTCGTAGTTAGTCCTACTTCCGCAGGAGACAGTTTTTTTACTTCCAGGTAAAATACAAATAAATAATAGTTTGCAATTTATTAACATGTCAACCAACATCATGTACTTTAATGCTCTTTATTTGTTGTTTTTTGTTAAAAATCAGTTGATGACTTAAAGGTATAGTTGAGGATTTTTGCAAATTTTTGAAGAGACCCGTCCTCCGCTTTAAAAAAAAAAAAAAAAAGCACCACACCTGTACCCGCTCCCGAGAAGGAACCCTCTATTGAACATGAGCGAGAGCGTGCACGAGCCCATTTCTCCTCGTGCACGCTCTGTTTAAAAGTTGCTGTTTGCATCGCTCATACAAGCTTACTTTCCAAAAGAAGGTTTTTAATTTTGCCACTATGTCAGACTCACCACCGGTAAGAGAAAATGGAGACGAGCCCATAAGACGTAAACTTATCACCAGAATGATTGACAATTAGGAGGACCACTTATTTTGATGATCCACCCAGAAAAAGAACATCCTCCACTATAGCTTTAATATACAATCTTCTCTGTTGTTGCATTTAAAAATACTACAATCAAAGACATTTTTACACAAAACCCCCCCTAAATCTGTGAAAGGTAAAATAGGCAGGTCAGACGTTACATAAACCCAGTAAAGACCTAATCGATGCATCTACACCATCTCTGGTTACTTTTTTATCGCAGCAGCTACCACTTCAGTTTTCTCACACCATAAGCTGGGAAGAGGGAGTCATCTGGGAGAAATCCTTTGACCTCTGCTCATCCAGTTTAGACCCCTGCCCCATCCAGATCAATGTCCGTCATGCTCAGAGACGATGAAAGGCCACAGAGCAGCATCAGGGGGGAAAAGGCCAGCGTTGGTATTTGATAGTGATAAAGCTAATGCACTTATACACACTGACACGCGGCGGCTCCCTCCTAACCCGCATCTTGGCCAGGTCATGGTCCATAAGCTTTAAAGCAGGGCCGCAGGTGGTGATTCACTTAAAGCTGCAGCAGGATCTCTGGTTGAAGGCGATTCCATCAGGATGGCGGAACAAGAGACATTCTCATGTTTTGTTTATGCACTGATGATTTCCTTTGTTTTTTGTTTTTACCTCTGATGTTTATATTTTATATTTACACTCTTAAATCATAAGATTAAACCACAGAGAGGACCTCTTACCTTGTAGCATCATAGCACTGGTCATTTCCCATCCAGCTGTTTATCCACCTGACCACCCATCCCTTAAATGGTCCAACTATCCATTTGTGCATCCATCAAAATTTGGATTTCGGCATTTATATTAACACGACTAGAACATTTGAGTCTAGAATTTTTTATTTTTTTTTTGTTAAATGTGGAGTTACATTAAAACAAGTGTTGGAGGGTAACGCTGGAGCCACATGTTGCCAAATCAAGGGATAATGATGTCTGAATGGTAAAACTAGCGAACCACAGCGCCTTGGTAAATGATGCAGTTGCTGGCTGTGAGGGTGGAGGAGTCTGGACCTCATTTTCAACTTTTCCCACACACCGCAAATCCCTCCCACCCGCAGTGAGCAGCACGGAAAACCGAGGAGACAGCTGGAGTTTCCTGACTCGGAGCGGGACATGAGGGAAATGAGGAATTCTGCACATCCAGGCCACTTCCTGTTGCGCTTCGCACATTTGCTTGTGAGAGCGCGGATGTGATTTCAAACACGCTCTTGTGCACAGGGTTTGTTTTTAGGTTGCGCATGCAGATTCCTCCTCCCTCTCCTGTGAGATGATGGGCCAAGTCACACTACCCGAAGCAGGAAGCTATCCATCATCAACACTGTAATGGGACACTGTAACAAGTGTTCCTCTGCTGCTGTTGGGTGTCCGCCAGCACCGCCATGCGTTACTGGGTCACTTTTTCAGCTCTTGCCTCGTGTTTTCCAAGCTTTTACCTCTTTCCAACAACATGGCTTTTCTTGTAGAAACTCAGGAATCGGATCAAAGCATAGAAAACGTTTGCCAGATCAAAAGATCAAGGTCATCAGAGGGGTTAATCCTTGTTTGGTGACTGACACTACATGGTTCAAACAACTGGACGTAGTGACATAGGCTGAAAACATCAATGGGATTACTGAGGAACGCACCATCAGACTGCTGTAGAGTGAAATTACTGGACTGTATTTATTTTATTTAGTCGTCTGAAACATTCAGATGGCCATGTAATCTGAATTAACCGAGATTAGTAGATACTTCAAGGATGCTGACTGTGACCTTCCGGGTTTTGTTTTGAAGTTTTATCTGTTTTTCAGGCTCTTAATGTATGCTTTGTCTGGAACAAAGCGACCTTGTGCTTTGGATTAACTTCTTTTCTCATGATTTATATTAAGATAATGCCGTGATCTTTCTTTTTTTTTTGTCATTGTTGTGGTAGTTGTTCTTTTCCCTCTGATTTTTGTTCATTTTCTCCCCTTCATCTCCTTTCCTTTAATTTGATTAAATCAGTTGTGAAGCAAGAAAGTCCCCTCTTTTGAAACCCAGATGTCTCTTTTTAAACCCAATATAGTGTTTACCTGCAACAGAGGACTTTATTTTTCTCCTTTCAAAGAGCAAATTGTCAAAAAGAAAAATCCAATCATCTAATTAAGGTCACATTTGATTAATAAAAACCTTTTCTTCATCTCACTTTTATGATAAATATGTCAGATTACTTGGGATTACTCCTTCGGGGAAATTCTGGTTCTAGTAGCTTATATAGAGTACAAAGAGTCAAAGCAAAATTCCTTTAAAGATAGAAACACAACAGACTATATAAAAAAGAGTTTTTATAGTATAAAAGAGCATAAAATAAGTTGAAATGTCTCCTTTAGATATAGAAAAAAATCTGCACAGTAGAGAGCTAAGGGAAGAGTTGACTTGGATTATTGCACATGCACTGCAGAGATGTTCGACCATATAAATACGTCAAAAGATTACACAGACTGCACAGTAGTCGGCATGTGTTATTGCAGTGCGAGAGAAGAATATTGCACGAGTGACAATTGGTAATCAAATCAGTTAAACAGCTGCAGCTCATTCAGAACTCTGCTGCCCGAGTTCTCACAAAGACCAGAAAAGTGGACCACATTAGTCCAGTTCTCAGGTCTTTACACTGGCTGCCGGTCCATCAGAGAATAGACTTTAAAGTTCTGTTGCTGGTCTATAAAGCTCTGCATGGTTTAGGCCCAAAATACATCAGTGACCTCTTGACCCAGTATGAACCTACTAGACCCCTCAGGTCATCTGGATCTGGCCTTTTATCAGTTCACAGAGTCAGAACCAGACATGGAGAGGCTGCATTCAGCTTCTATGCTCCACATGTCTGGAACAAACTCCCAGAAAGTCTCAGATCAGCTGAAACACTTAGTTTATTTAAATCCAGGCTGAAGACTCACCTGTTCTCAGCTGCATTTACGTAGATTTTATTCAAAAGTTAAAATTCGCCCGTCTCTGTATTCTCTCTTTTTAATTTTAAATGTTTTTAATTTTGAATCACGCTTTTAATTGTTTTTAATTGTTTTCTTTCCCTTTTGCTTATAATGTTTTATGTAAAGCACTTTGAATTGTTCTGTACATGAAATGTGCTATACAAATAAACTTGCCTTGCCTAATGTTTTGCACAAGATGTCCAAGCGGGGTCCCTCTTCCTATCACCTTCTCCTTCCCCTCGTGCAGATTTGTGTGTCGAGGAAAGCAAGGCAAATTTATTTATATAGCACAATTCAGTACAACGACAATGCAAAGTGCTTTAAATGATTAAAACATAGGAAAATAAAATGGAATCAAAGCAAGTAGGAAAAAAAATAGAATAAAAAACGCAGAAACAAAAAAGGGAATCAGTAGAAAATGTTGAATGGAGCAGCAGCCTAACAAGATTTTATGGTGTTTTCTGCCTGCTATTCGCCACAATAATAAACACAGAGAGTTATTGACCACTTTTAACAGAATGGTCTATTATGCACATTATATTAGTCTCGCTTTTTCCTCCTTAAGTCTAAGCATTTCATATCTGTGTTAACAGGATATAGTGTCACAAAGCTGAATCAATTCATCAGCAGTCACTTTTCTCACAGATTCAGCCCTGAAAAGTCACTTCTAATTAATGTTACAGAAATATGGATTAAAGGATGGTTAAAATCACCAGTCCAATGATTCCTTGTGTAAAAAAGATCAACAGACATCAGCAGATATTTCCTTCTAACAGTGGACACTTTAAAGATAACTATTTGATCACCCAATAAGCTTTATGTTCATAAACAATAGTTTAATTAACTCCCTGCTTGAATCAAATCTCTGATTTGGTTTGACTGCTCCGGCATCTTTGTGTTGTTCACTTTATTTACATCAAAAAAGCATTTATTTATGTAGAAAGATTTCAGATGCCAAGTTATTGTCCATATATGGGCAATAAAAGTCTTTTAAAAAAGTCAATTAAAGGACTTTTTTCATGGGACATTTTTAAGACTATTATTAATCCATTCTTAAAAAAAATATTTGAAGTGTTTGATTCTTTTATCTAAGTTTTACATATTTTTAGTGTGCCTGTCTCTAAGATGTGATACTCCAATAAATACTCCTATAAATATTTTGCAATTTATACATTTTCTACTTTTTTTTTTTACTTTTTACTTGTTATATCCTTTTCTGTGAAAGATCCTTTAAGATTAGATCTGATTTCTGGTTCAGATACATGCATTTTCAATTGATATCCTAAAGAACTACCTTTTCTCTCCACTTGGGGGAGCTCTTCTATTAAAAACAGCTGCAAACCCTCTGAGCTAACATCATTTTTGTCCTTATTCTGCCCTTAGATGCCTTTAGTTTCTCATTGATTCAATATAATATCCTGGTGTCTTTTAAAATCATAGGATACTACCTCTTCTCTATAATCCTCACATTTTGTTATATTTTTATATGATGATGGATCCTTTCTAATATTCCTCCTCATCTTTCCTGGACGTGTAGATGGAGCAGGTGTCGGACGATGAGCTGGACCATGGAGCAGAGGAGGACAGCGACAAGGAGGACCAGGACCTGGACAAGATGTTTGGGGCCTGGCTTGGCGAGCTAGACAAGCTCACACAGGTAGACGGGCGGCGGGGAAATAAGGAGGAGGCAGTATCCATGGCAACCTTAACACTGCTAATCCTGTCTCTGTTTCCTAGCAACCCTTCCCTTTACGTTGTGCAGATAAGCAGGGATCTGTGTCTGTGCGTGTGTGAGAGAGAGTATGGGGTGTTGCAGTCAGGGTTGTTGTGATCCTTCTTTTTGGTTGTATTTCACAGTGATTAAAAAAAAAAATGTTTTTTTTGCCTTTGTTTGCAACATAGAGTTTGGATGATGGCAGGCCACAAAAAGCACTGCAGAAACCGCCCCTCAGGCAGGAGACGAATATGGCCAACTTCTCTTACCGCTTCTCTGTTTACAACATAAACGGTGAGGCTTCTGTCGTCTTAGGTGTCAAAAATCAGCCCATTTACCATCCAAACTGACCAATAGAAACGCATACCTCAATACACCAGGAGGTCATAGAAAAACATTCTCATTAAAAAAGTAGGTAGTTTTAAATTGAATTTAGGTTTTTAGTTGTTAAAATAAACCATGAAATGTATAAATCTGTGTTTTTAAAAAAATTATCTGTAAATGAGTTTCCTTATTTGAATTAACTTGGAGAAATGCTATTTTCTAATTTATGTCCCTTCATTGACCTTCTTCTGACTTCATACCCTGTAAAATGTTTCTGCAGAGGCTCTGAATCAGGGAGACGCTGTGGACCTGGATGCTCTCATGGCTGACCTCTGCTCCATCGAGCAGGAGCTCAGCACCATCTCCAAGCCAAACTCATCATCCCGCAGCCAGAGCAAAGGAGGACAGAGGGGCCCCGGGGGCCGCAGTGCCAGCACCAAGCACACTGGCACCAGTGGAGGAGGAAGCAGTGGAGGTAGTCCAGATTATTGCATCTCCTAATAGCAGGATAGTAGTATTTGTTATTGTCAGAATAGAATCACACAGAGGTTTTTATTCAGACTCTTTGACTTTCATCTATAAGAGAAAAACATAATGACTGCAGAGCAGACCATAAAACAGAAACGGGTTACATGAGTCAAAAGAAGGCAGTGGTGGTTCTAGACCGTATTTATCAGGGTTTGATCAGTGTTTACTTTTTTATGGAGAGACAAAACAAAAGCTCATTATTTGATATATTAAGGGAACCAAAGAACATCTTCAGATGTAGCAGAAAGAAAATGGGATTCTATCTAAATATGGTTGAATCTAAATATGCAACAACTTATTTTTTACATAATAAATCAAATACAACAAAAAATAGAATAATGAATTAGTCCAAGGGACTTATTCCAGGGTATATCCTGATTTATTTACCATTAACTGCATTTTGCTTTCAGTACACGCCAATATCAGGGGCCAGGATAGGGACACTGGCCCCTTTTGGCCCCTGTCTAGAACCTTCCATGTCTCGGCTTTTTATTTCCACAGAAACACAAAACTTCCTTCTCTAATTTAAGAATTTAAAGAAAATTGTTTTAAACTTCCTTTTGGAGCATTTTCTACACATCAAAATAAAAAAAAAGGGAATTATAAAAACATCGCTATTTACTATTTGTGATACAGAAGTTTCTATATTTTACAATTGTTCATTTATTCTTCATCTGACTTTTTAAAATTTTTTCTTGAACCTCTCCTGCAGGAAGTACCAGCAGCAGTGCCAGAGCCTCGCCAGCCAACACGGTTCGTGGCGGCAGCGTTAACTCTCGACCCGGCGCTTCCAACATCTCCCTGGACGACATCACCTCCCAGCTGGAAAAGGCCTCCCTCAGCATGGACGAAGCTGCGCGTCAGACTTCTTCTTCGTCGTCGTCTTCCTCATCTTCAGTTTCCTCCGCAGCTCTGCGGCGTCCGTCGTCCGGATCGTCCGGCGGCGGGCAGCACCGCAGGACTGGGTCGGTGGGCACGATCAGCGAGCAGGAGGCCAAGTCGCAGCGATCAAGCGTGAATTCGGCGTGCGCCTCTGCTTCCAGCATGGACTCCCTGGACACGGATAAAGTGACGGCGGGCGTGGAAGCGGAGGAGCAGGGCAGTCCGAGCTCACAGGGCCAGAACCAAACCAGCACAGAGGTAGGATGTGTGCGCAGAGACCAACCATAACCATTTGAGTTGCATGTTTGTATTGGGTTGTGCATCCTAAAATACACTGCAATCCGGAATATTTTCCAATTGCAATTGTGACACCTCCTTTTTCTGAGCTCCTTTTATTAACTCTAATGCACAACTTCTCTCACAAAAGCAACCAATCCCTCACAGTGTGGGTGAGAAGCTTTTCACCTGCTTTACACACTGCAAATCTCACCCAATGCTTTCCTCCAAGCCTCTAGATGCTTGAGAAAAAGAGGCGTCCAAAACAGTCAGAACAACCATGTTACCCTGCATGCTCCCTCTCCTTCCTGCATGTGTTCACTTTTTTTGTGTTTGCATCCTTTTATTAATCGTTGGCCTGCTCGTCTACCTGCCTGCCCGCACCCTCCGAATTTCCCCCAGCATGTCAAACTGCGACGGGCCAACAGTCGTCCGGCCAGACGGCAGCTTGACTTCACCTCAGGCGAGGGGGAGGTGGACCGGGCCACTGTAAGTTTGCATGTTTGAGTTTGCATGAGAGGCAGTGCTTTTTTTTTTTTTCATTTATACAGCAAAGAATGCTTATTTTATCAACAATGTTTCTAACTAAAAAAAAAAAATAAAGTGAACTCAAATGCATTTACTGGATTTATGCACGCGGTCTTCACATGCTGCTCACAACCACACACTTTAATGTATTTTAGGACTTTTTGTATTAGAAGAACACTATGATGGGCTTAATTGTGAAGTGGAAGAAATAGAATATAGCATCAAAAACAGCAGAAACATCAGCGATGAGGACAAGTTTAAAGCAAGAAACCTGTAGAGATTTTGCAGAAAAGTAGTTTTTAACGCATCACTTGGAGTTGCAACGAAAATGTATAGAAAGGTGTTTTTATCATATTAGACCATGATTCAAAACAATTATTTTTGTAATAGAACAAAGGATGCTTGTAGCCGGAACATATAGCAAAGGCTACAGTGCAACAATCTAGTCAAAGTCCAGAAGCATATCCAAATTAGAATATACTTTTCAGACTTTTATACGTAAGATATTTGAAAATTTCTATGATTTTGCATTCACTTTAGAGTTTTGCACTAATGTGTTGTTTTTATCAGATAAAATCACAATAAATTACACTAAAAGGTCTGTGGTTGATGGTCTGATAATGTAACAACATTAAATCACTTGTTTTCTTTCCATATGTAGTCCCAGAAGGTCTTTAATGGGTTGTGAAAATGAATGGAAACACTGCAGAACGTTAGGCAACAGTCTAGGAGTTTGACAATGTTTTGCACTTTCCAAACACCTTTTGCAGCTCTTATATAAAAAGCTTCATGTATATTTTGTATTTACGTTTTTTTTATATATATTGTTTTCTTTTTTATCTATGTAGTTTTTAACTCTTTGAGCCTTTTTTGTACTTTTGTATCCCACTTTGCAGAGCTGTAGTTATGATATTTTAGTTTTGTGCAGGTTTTGCTTATAATAATGAGAATATTAGAGTATTTTTAAAGGTAACTGAACTGAATCACGTTTCTTCTCACATAATCATTGCTCCAGTTCCCACAGCTGCAGCTAATGACACCCTCGACTGCTTAAAGTGCTTTACCCATGGACTCTTCTCTCTTTTCTGCTCTGCTTTATTTAAAGCGAGGATCAAAACACCTGGAATTAACAAGCCTCTGAGAATCATCTGACACTGACCTCACTATATTTTGTCTTTTCCTTTTGCCCTTTCTGTTTATCTGCTCTTCCTCACCCAAGCATTCCTATCTGGACCGAGAAACCTCACTCATTCTGAAAAGCATAGCTGGGAAGCCCTCTCACCTCCTGACCAAGGTGACTTCCTTATACACTCCATGATCGGTGTGCGTGTTTGTGGGGTTGTGTGCTGTTCCTGGATTCTGCTCTGCATGGCTTTTTGGGGGGAAAATCCATCTGCTTGGGTTCCGACACAGTGTGGAAAAGATTAAATTAGATTTTGGTACAATCAAAGTGTGGTTAAGTGCGAAGAAAGTCCAAAATATCCTTCCTTTTCTTCTCTCTGTGACATTCCTTTTCGTTCTGTCTTTCTTTCACTTAATTTCTTTGCTCACCATTTTTCACTGAGCCCTTCCTTTTTTTCTTTCCTCCATCATGACGTCTCCCTTTTTCAGCTTCTACCTTACCTCCTTCCTTATGTCCTTCCTCTCTTCCTATCCTTTTGTCACCCTCCCTAGTCTAATCTGTCTTCTCCATTTTTTTCCTCTCCTTCCTTCCTTGTGTTCTTCCTCTCCTCTTGTTCATCCTTTCCTTTCTCGATTATGCTTCCTTCCAGGTTTCATATTTAGAGTTTGTCTGCTGTAGAAAAACTTCCATAAATCTTTACTTTTACATATTTTAAAGTGAAATAAATACTAGTAAGGCCAGTAGATGGATTTTCCCTCATTGTTTATATTCACTATGAGTTGATCTTTATTGTATATCATTTAGATGCATGAACCTTATTTTTGTGTCTGTTTTTTTTTTTGCTCTTTTCCATATTTCTCTGCATGTCGTCGCTTATTGATTTGCTTTCTGTTGTTTGGAAGTTTAGAATCCTGTCAGTGGAGCAGCACTCAGGCTAATAAACCAATTTTTGTATAAGTTTAGTTCAGAAATTATCCTTTAAGTGTTTTCTTTTAGGCAAATGCTGATTATTTTTTAAGATGAGCCTTTTTCTTCCCTTAATCATGTGATTAAAAATAGCAGAAAATGTCACCTAGTTCTCATTTTAAACAAAAATGTAATATTTATATACAACTCAAACTAAGCATTAACATTTTTTTTTTTTATTAGGCATGGCTCAGATATTGGTCTACCTTATCTGGTCTACCAATCGTTTATCATCATAAAATCCACCTGTCCGCCTGCGGGTGGTTTCATATATTTCCACCTAACAACTCGGAAAGCAGCAAAAATAACAGTACATTTTTTACCAATATAGACATGTTAGAAATCGTTAGAACGCTTAAATTCTCTACAATCCAACCACCAAGTAAATTTTATGGACACAGTGAGCACCCAAGCACAATTAACACAGATAAAGCAGCATGTGAAAATGCAAATATGACAAAGAGCCATGACAACATACCTTTGAAGACATCCAGAAGCTGTATTATAAATCCAATCTTCAATTGTTGATATTCCATTCACCCTTAAGGGTCCACAGATTAAAATTAATCCAGTTTATTCGTAATAAAAACATTCCATGATGAGAAAATCGCCACAAAACATCCATTTTTTACCATCAGAAAAGTTCGATCCTTATGCAAACAGCTCCAGTCAGTGTTGGGTATGTTTGTTTACCTCACCTTCCAGCCTACAAAACAAAATTGTCCCTTCCCGCCCGTCCTATCCGTTTTAAGATTTGACACCAGGACAGTATTCGAAGCGTCAAAGAGCTATCCCTGCCTACGTTTACGCATGACTCCCCTCATATTATTCCTCATAAAGTCCGACTGCTATTGTTTATGTCCACATGCAATGTTTGGCTCTCTAGCCAACTAGATTACCTTTAAATCAAGGCTAAACACAGCTAATTTGAAAAGTGCAACCCAGATATATAGCGGGGCGTAAAGGCAGAGAGGCAGATCCAATCCTGGATCATTGTAGCCTCGTGAGACCATCCTGATCTCGCGAGCTTTCAAGGTTTCACTCGCAGATCAGTCTGGCTACTCTCCGTTAAAGTTCACCAAACAAACGTCCAATCAGCGTTGGCTTTGAGGCGGGTTGAGGTGTGACGCAACGAGAAGCGCGACAGTTCAGTCTAAAGAACATGGCGGCTTCAGCCGATGAAACTAGCGTTAGCGTGGCTATCGAGCAAGTTTTATCGGAATTACAGAGTATTTCTTCACTGAAAGAAGAGCAAAACACTGCTCTGGAGGCTTTTCTCAGAGGAAAATATGTTTTTGCTCTTCTCCCGACTGGTTTCGCCAAGAGTTTGATCTATCAATTGGCTCCTCTTCGTCGTCGCTCTGTTACGTGATATGCTTCGTTGATCTGATTGGTTTATTCGGCCCGTCTATCACCAACATAGGCCAATCAGCTAACTAGTATTCTCGCCCCTTCCCAAAATTACTTCAACGGAAGGTTTCCAGATGGATATGCGGAGCAAATCCATCTGGCGGAGTCAGGTTAGGATCATTGCACACTGTTAGAAAAAAAAATGTTTTGTGGCCATCAAAATGCTCCAGTGGGATTTTTGGGGTAAAAGCACAATTTAGAATAATTTTGCATATTTTGGAGAGGTTTGGAGACGCTGATGACTCCAGAAGTTAAAAGTCGCATATCTCTAGAACTGTTATACCTAGAGGTCTGAAATGTTCTGCAGATGTTGATGACATGATGCAGAATAAATATAAAACAATGACATGTGCCTATTCTCAAGCATGTCTTTGTTACTGCTATTCCAAAAAGACCTATTATTTTTCGAGGTGGAAAAAGCTACTTTGAGTGTTGTTGAAACTGGTGCACGCACTTTTTTCCTTTAACATTTTCAGAAACTAGAAGGTGTTTGCTTTCAAATGTTGTATCACATGTAATTTACACTTACAGTTCCTTAGTTATTTGCTTTTCCATTTGGGTGTGCAAAAAGGCGAGGATTACTTAAATGAGGTGGATGTTATTTAAAGGTTATGTTGTCATTTTGGATTATTAAAGTCATGGCTGAAGCCAGATTTAAGAAATCTGCTGCGAGCTGAGGGATTCAGGTATATCGATCATCAGGTGATTGAAGGAAGAACTTGGAAAATGGAAAACTGGGATCGGGCCTCCTGTGCCGTAATGTCAGCGTTTTTCCAGTGTTGCTGTAGTGAAGTAAAATATCAGTTTTGATTATTTATCAAGTTGTCAACAAATGTCCTCCCAAGACATCAACTTGAAAAATGGTCTAAATATTTTTTTTAAATCCCAATAAATGAAATCCATTCAGATGCTTCCTAGGCATATAATACAGATTAGATGATGCCCAGATTGATCTAATTGAAAAAAATTTGATTTAAGGCTTTCAAGGTTTTGGGGACAATTATTATTTTTTTGACTATGATCAATATTTATTACGGGTGAAGCATCTTGGTTGCTTCCAGACCTAATGGACGTATTAGACACTTATTTAATAGTATACAATGCAACAGCCACAAGTCAGAATATGAAACAAAGCATGACATAATAAGAGCCCATGCAAATTTAGACTCGTACAGAGAGAATATCCCATGGTAAGGGATACAAAACCCTTTGTAGCAGATTATCAGGCCTTTCCCACTAATTATGCCAGAGCAAAACCCTCCTATGCTTCATTACAAAAAAGAAGGGGGACTTTTTAACTGAACTGATTGAAGTTTATTTTCATCAACTTTGAGATCGCAAAACCTTCATACACCAGATCGAGTTTCTCCTCGACGATCAACCTATTTATCATGGCTGGATTGTCGGGTTTCTGCGCATTTTAGAGGAGGGAAATCCTGCAGTGCATGAGCTGCAAGAACTGACTCGCAAATGGGGAGCACTGAATTGAGCGGGCAAAGCAGGCGGGCGGGGGAGAGAGACGGGAGTGGAAAGAGATCAAAGTGGGAGGAAGCCTACAAAAATATCCCCCCACCAGGCAGAAGAGCTTCTTAAAACGGTGGTGTGGCTGGGTGGGAAGGGAGCAATGGAAGGGAAACCAGAGGCATTTTTAATCAGAAACTGGGAGTAGAGGGATTAATAAGTAGAAGTTTGCAGTGTGAGTTTGCAAACCTCTTCCACTCTTACTCTTTCACCCACACCTTAGAGACTAAAAGCTGGACTCCATGCGTCTGCCACACTGTCTCCTCTTCCATTAACGTCTGGTTGCTTTGAAGTTACTCATGTGAAAGAGAGTCTGGGTCAAAGGGAGGAGGGAGCCCCCCTCTCACCCTCTTTCTGCGAACACAAACACATCTGTAGACACGCACGGCTTCAAATATTCAGCATTCACCTAAATTCCAGGGCTGCACATCCCTGATACCGTGGTTTGGCTTCAAGACGGTAGCATGTCATCGCCTCACGTCGATTGGCCGCAGGGTCCGGCGAAAGGGGCTCGCCGGTTGGCCGACCCCTTCGGCTGCCTTCTATATTTGCGGGGATTATGCTTCATCGATTGGGCACGCTCCCAATCGCCTGGCTGCTCTTTATAAAGAGAGGAAGGGAAGGAGCAAGGGGGAGGGGCGTCTTCCTTTCTACTATCCCGTCTGGGTTTTTTTTTTTTTTTTTTTTTATTGTGCTCATCTTTGGCGCACATGTATGAATGTCAGTGAGCCCCCCAAACCAGTGCAGAAACTCGGACAGATGCACTTCTGCTGAGGATCATGGCGGAACAACTTTACGTTGCGAAATCTGGACGTTTCCCACTTCTTCGGAGGATTTTTGGTGGAACGTCTGGAAGCTCTTTGAAGTCTCCCTGCATCCATCTGCAGACTTGCGCCCTTTAGGGATCTTCTAGCATTGTTTAATAGGATCAAAGGAAGCTGCATCGGCTTCAGATGAATCTATGATAGACTGCCACGCTACGATTCCCATCAGTTATATAACATTAATTACAGTATAGGCGTATCTAACCTGTAGAATGGAGGTGATGGCATCTTGCTGGAGAGGGCAGGTAAGCTACGAAAAGGGACTAAAGGAGAAAGCCAGTTGAACTTTAAAGCCTTTCAGTATAAGAAGCCGTATTAGTGTGTGTGTTCTATTAAAAAATGTCCCTGTGTGTCCATCCAGGAGGAGCAAGCTGCCAAGATCAAGGCGGAGAAGATCCGTGTCGCTCTGGAGAAAATCAAGGAGGCTCAGGTCAAAAAGGTAATTTCTTCCTGACTTTTTTTTTTTTGCAGACTACGAAAGTCCTCCGACCTTATATAACGCTCGTCATATCCACGTTTCTATTGAACTTCATTCAAGGCAAAGCGCCGGAGCGCATCCAAAATAGGTCATTGCAGCGTTTTTGCAGAAGGGGAAGCGAGACGGCGCTCTGTGCATTTTCAGACAATGAAATGTCTTCCAGTTCTGGTGTTTGGCTGCACAACTGGAGCCCCTTCATCCACCGAAAGCCGCCTCCATTCGGTTATTGATGCTAAACGCTTCGTTTCTGTCAGTGAATGAACCGTCTTTGAGCCCAGCAGTGTCTCCACTACCAGTACTATTCTCTGACATGATGAGATAAAAGGCGCTTGCTAGAGCCGTGACAGTGAGCTTCATCCTTGATCTGCAAGGTTTCCCATTTCAACATGATCCGAATGCATGAAATACCGTCAGCTGTTATATTTTTAATTAGAAATTCAGCGTTTCTCATCAACTTTTCTGCAGTAGAAATTCAGAGGGGGTGGGTCGGTTTGTAATCTTGACAAATGTAGGTCAGGCTCCCCGTGTCTGAGGCTCTGGCATAGAGTCTTTATCGGTTTGGGTTGGAGCTCAGTCATCCGTAGCTTTAAAGCGGCCGGGTGAAGGGTCAGAGTTGGAGAGCTAAATAAAAAGTGGAGCTGCTGTGTGAGAAAGATGTCTCTTCAAAATGGGTTCATAATTAATTAAGACAAAATATGTGACATTTTAAATGATCTTAAATTAGTTTATAGTGTAGCTTAGACTAGAATTTTCCATTTTTAAGTTTTAGTTTTGTGGATCTTGTAGAAATCTTTGTTTTCTAAGAAAAGTGTGGAGGCCAGACTGAAGTTGTTGAGAACAGAATGACTGATGAATTTAAATCTAAACGACTTGGATGCTTTGTTTTATATGAATAACTGTGAAGCATGGAGGTGGAAGCATCATGGTATGGGATCCCTTTGCTGCATTAGAATCCAGCCAGTTTACCTTCACAGAATCCAGCCCAGATTTGACCATCTACTAGAAAAAAGAAAATATGACTCAGCTAAAGCTTTTCTGAGGTTGTCCCCTCTTCAATAGGCTCACATTATAACACTGAATGCAACATTTGATGCCCATGTCATGGACATTTCAACTCTTAACTCTACTATAACTGTTACTTATTTGGTGTATTTTCCTTTCACTAAGCTTTACAATGATTTGATATGAGACAGCACCTTAAATAGCAATAATTTGAACAAAATCTGTGATGTCAGCACTTTTTTAATTTATGGTTTAATAATTTCTGCTTAAAAAATCTTTTTTATGGATTTTATAGCTAAATTAACAGGAGAAAAACGCTTGAAATATGAGTTTTTAGCCAAGTTAAAGAAATCATTATTAATTTTAATGTATATATCTGTTGCGTCAAAAAAAATGACAGTCCGTGTGTCGATTATTATTTTCCAATGTCATCTTTAACTTTATCTGTTTATTCACAGAGCAGTAAATCCCATAAATATTGATTCCTAACGCTCTTATTCTCCATCAGCTGGTGATTAGAGTACATATGTCGGACGAGAGCTCGAAAACCATGATGGTGGATGAGCGGCAGTCGGTCAGACAGGTGCTGGACAGCCTGTTGGACAAGTCGCACTGCGGCTACAGTCCCGACTGGTCCCTTGTGGAGACCATCACTGAGCTACAGATGGGTAAGTCTGGAGTCCATCGCAACTTATATAAACACACCATAAACATTTGCTTTGAGCTAAGACGGTTGATCTTTTTCCAGAGCGGATATTTGAGGATCACGAGAACTTGGTGGAGAACCTGCTAAACTGGACCAGAGACAGCCACAACAAGCTGATGTTCATCGAGCGCATCGAGAAGTACGCTCTCTTCAAGAACCCGCAGGTGACTGACCCTTTAAACTGCAGCACGCCTGTAGACTGTAAAGCAATACAAACACATAGCTTATGCATGCTGAGCGCTTACACAGCTGCTAGTCACAGAGCGAACTTGGAAGTGGGTCAAAGCTCTAAAGCGAGTAAAGGTGAATAATTTATTTACGTGAGATGAAGTGTGCTGCCAGCTTGAACCTCACCCTCCCATCTTGATCATCAACTCACTTCCCTGTGCTCTTCATCTGTTTCAGAACTATTTGCTAGGGCGGAAGGAGACCTCGGAGATGGCTGACAGGAATAAAGAAGCTCTACTAGAGGTAGAGATCTAAAAGGATAAAGGTGTAATAAAAACCAAAGGGGAAAAAACGCTGATTGTGTCGATTTGTGGCTTTTAGGAATGTTTCTGTGGTGGATCTGTGTCTGTGCCAGAGATCGAGGGGATTCTGTGGCTCAAGGAGGATGGAAAGAAGTCGTGGAAGAAGCGTTACTTCCTCCTCAGGGCTTCAGGGATCTATTATGTCCCAAAGGGCAAAGCTAAGGTCAGATTATTTATCTCTAACCCACAGTCACACTACCCTTTCAGAACTAACTCTTTCTTTGGCTTTTCAATAAAATTGGTACCGTATTTTCCAGACTATATACCGCACCTCACTACTTTTTTTTGAAAAAAAAAAAATGGAAACGTACATATACTATATGAGCTGCATCGGCTCTAAGCATCTATCTACTTATCTGGTTGGATGCGGCTTCATCAGCCCTTTTTTTTATCTCTGCAGTAGTTGAGCCCAGTCTCTTCATTGGTTCAACAGCCTTAATGCGGCAAATAAATGTCAAAATGTTGAAATTTGGCCACGTTCACATTGCAGCCTTAAGTGATCCAAATCCAATTTTTTTTTACCCATATGCGACCTGAATCTGATCTTTTCATTTCAGTCTGAACAACGCAGATTCGATTTTTTCCAATGCGACCCAGGCCACTTGGCTATGTGGTCCTGAATCCGATACGAATCTGATCTTTTCAAATGCAACCTGTGTCTAAACTGCCAGGTCGCATTCATCCGACCTGAACGTCATTAATACCCGACAAAGGTCACTATTATGCGTCATGCTACACAGAAGCGGCAAGAAAAACAACAACCATGGCAGATGATGATGCGGAGAGCATTATTTATGTTTAACCATATTGAAAAGATTGTGTTTTTATGGTTGGAAAAGGCCGTTAGATGCACACCGGTACTACCATCCATGTTTACTTCCATAAACACAGAACATGCTGGCCTGTGATGTCATTGCGTCCTCTACTGCGCATGCGGATAACTTGTGTTGTATGACTGCAGTTCACACAGGAGATCACATACAAGTCGCATATATTTGGAAATATGAACGGCAACGCAAAAAAATCGGATTTCGCAAAAAAATCTGAATTGAGCATCAAGGCCTGCAGTGTGAACATAGAATTTTGGACATTTGTTCTCCCCCATGCCTCCTGCTAAAATGTTGTGCTAAATGACAATTAGCCCCTTATTCTTTCATTTCCAACCTTGATTTCACCCTTGAAAAATCAACAGAAAAGCTGCACCTTCTTATAAGACACATGGTTCAAAGCGAGGGGAAAAAAGTGGTGGTTTATAGTCTGGAAAATACGGTACTTTTATCCCGTTTGATTCAAAAGGAAGCAACAATTACAGAGTAGGGACCCATTTTAGACACAAATATTTGCATAATTTTTTTATCTTATAATAATTGTGATCATTTACTTTGAGATACTTGTAGTAATAATGATATATTCCATTAGTGTTTTTTGTTACAAAGTACTTACAACAAAAATAAAACATCTTTTTTAAAGAGATGATTAGTATACGAGAGTTTCTCAGAATTTGGGTTTACAAATGCATTATTTGAATTTGGATTGCACATTAAAGAGGCAGAGGAGTCAAAATTCTCTTATTAGGGTGATAAGTACTCACTCTCTTTAAAAAAGTAAAAAAAAATTCCCCAAATATCTGCTGCTATGCATCTCTAAGAATTGGGATTTTATTTATTTTCTTTTTTTTTTTTTTTATAAAAAATCTAAATTTTCTGAGTCAGGTTTCAAAGGGTTAATCAGAAATTAGGGCTGGGATCTTGAGAACCAAATCAACAATCTGCATTGTGGTATTTCCTGTTGTGTTCCTCATCACTTTGAAGAGCAGTTGCAGCCAAAGCCAGATCTGAGGTGCACATGTGCTGCCATGTTTGGTAAAAGCACATGTGCTTTTGCTAATTATTTTCCATTTTCCAACCTTCTCTGCAGTTTCTAGAAGATCCAATATCTGCACCTTGTTGTTTAGCATCATAATCTTTTTCAAATTTAATTTAGCATCTGAAAACTAAGAGGTCAGCTTTAAATCCAAAGCTATTTTAATCTTTGAAAGACAGAAAGAGACACTCAAATGAGTTATGCTAGTTTACTTCCAGATGTGTCATTAAAAGCTGTTTTTTTGTTGTTGTTTTTTTTTTAAATATAAAATGTGGTCTCTTGTCTCTGCAGGCGTCCAGAGATCTCGTATGCTTCCTGCAGTTGGACCATGTTAATGTGTATTACGGGCAGGACTACCGCAGCAAATACAAGGCTCCCACTGATTACTGCCTGGCTCTGAAGGTAGGAAATCACAGAAAAAAAAGCTTTATTAGGAAAATAACATTTAGTAAAAACTCTATTTTTGTTGATGCTAATGATAGCTGTTATCAACATACTGCAAGACTTGTAAATATTTCTTAAGATTAGTGTATTTGGCCTTTATTTGAGCAAGTATGTGAAATTATCTGCCAATAAGATGACTTTTTACCCTTAAAATAAGATTATATATACCGCGCTTGTTTGGTTTTTTAAGTACAAAAATTTTATTCCATTGGCAGATCATTTTACTAACCTACTGGAATGAAATGGAGATAAATTATTTCAAGAAAATTTTACTTTTAGTTCACATTTTTCAGTACATTTTCTCTTATAGTCCACAGGTAGCTTTAATTAGTATATTTAATTTAAATTGTTGCTGGTACTACATAAATAATGAATTGGCTTCTTGAATACAGACCAATATAACTTATTTAAAACGGCTAAATTATACTTTTGTATTTCAGACATTAAGCCTTTAGCGTCTCCATTATAATTATTTTTTAAAAACAAAAGAAATTTAAAGCAAATATTCCAGAATGAGTAATATTTGATGATTAATCCAGAATTTAAAAAAATGCATAGCCACTCTTTATCCATTTTTAAAATATTTAACAATAGATGCCCTGTCAACCTTTATCCACACCTTTTAGTAGATGGAAAAACCTTTATTGGGGTTATAAAAACAAAACCATGAATTGTAATATATATATATTTTTTTTTGCTATAACCAGGCTGATGCAGCAGCTACAGAAGTCTTTGTTGAAAGAAAGACATGGAAAAGATAAAGAGTTATTTTATTATTAAACAAAACTAAACTAAAGGTTAAAACCACCCGCTAAGAAATCCACCTAATTATTAGTTAATGACTTCATGCAGTTTGGAAAATATAAGAATCTCTAAAGCTCTAAAAACAAAAATTTGAAATATTCAAAAGTAACAGAGAAAACATTTATATGGCAGTAGAAGGAAACCTTTACATCCTAATTGGATGGATAGAAATAAAGAAATATTTAAAGTTCTGTGTCTTTTCTTCTTAATATTCCCAAAAAATGTGCAAAAATATAATTGATATTTATTCTGGATGTAATTTTGTTGAAATTAAAGAAAGTTTTCCTTCAATGCTCATGAACTGGAATGCAAGCGTAGATAATGGAGCTAATTGTCCACAAAGACTGAATTGTGCGTAAGCCCAGCTGGCTGAGAGGAATTAAAAGTGCACCAAACAGATATTGAACAAATGTGTGGGATTTTAATGGTGCACACATGGTAACTGCGCTAAAGGTGATTGCATAAAATATAAGGCAGCAGCTCTACAGCTTAAATTCACCTCTGCCTTTAAACCTCTAAATACCTCTTAAACATTTTGGTTTTACAACATTTGATGCTAATATCCGCAACCTTAACAATTCCTTTAAACATGTAATTGAAGTCTTTTTTCCCAACTTCATTAAAAGTTTTTAGGACATTCAATTAAATAATCTACTTGTTAACCTTTGGATTAAAACACAACTGCAATAGAGGCTTGTTTTTATTTATTCTCTCTTTGAAATGGGAAAGAGAATAGATCTTTATAAGCCTTTATCTTTATAAGGTAAGGGTTATAAAACTGCTTCTTGCCTAAATGTTTCCATTTACACCCAACTGTTATAAAGTCTATAATTAATAAATAATAAACCAATGCAGATCTCCAAAGTTTACTGCTGGTGAATCAAAAATACCAGTTTTTATTAGTTAACTTTAGCTGCTATTTTCTATCTATCTGTACAAACCATGTCAAGAATTCATTCATAAAGTAATAAAAACAGGGAATCCAAAATGCTACTTGAAGTTTTTGAAACTAAGATTAAGCTATTTTGCATTGAACACATGAAAAAGACAAATATAGATAAAAACAATATTTATAGATCAGTGTTTTTCTGATATACACATTAAAAAAGTCTTAACTAAATAGACACGGTAGCTGTACGTAGATCATGCAGATATTTAGTACATGAGCATGTTTTGTCAGCTCCGTTTTGAGGCTGATGTTTCTTTTATTTGCTTTTAAAGCATCCACAAATCCAGAAGAAATCCCAGTATATAAAGTACCTGTGCTGTGATGATGTCAGGACGCTGCACCAGTGGGTGAACGGCATTCGCATCGCCAAGGTGGGTCCAAACTAGGCTTAATTCTCAATTAAAAGAAATTAAAAATATATATATATAACATGGATTTATGGAGAGGTAATCTGTTTGCATAACTGACTGAAGTATGTGTCCTTCTGTAGTATGGCAAGCAGTTATATGTGAACTACCAGGAAGCAATGAAGAGGACAGAGGCGGCGTATGATTGGTCGTCTCTATCTACCTCTAGCATTCGATCGGGCTCCAGTTCAGCCAGCATACCTGGTGAGTTTTATTTTCCATTTACAGCTTAAGCTAAGTGTTAATGAAGAGCTGCATTCTCCAAACCTGTGCGCTGTTTAAACTGAGACTTGTTGGTGTTATTGTCCCATCAGAGTCGCAGTCCAATCATTCGGGTCATTCAGACAGTGGAGTGGACACAGCCTCCTCTCATGGCCGGTCCCAGAGCGTGGTGAGCTCCATTTTCTCTGAAGCCTGGAAGAGGGGAACCCAGATGCAGGAGAACTCAAAAGTATGGCTACTTTTTTTTGCTTTTTGTTTAGAGTAACTGAGATGGATGTTTAATTAGAGTTTGTGATTTGAAATATTGTGTATATTTTGCTCTGCAGATGAGACATGAGGCATCGCGTGGATCCACGCATTCCTCCCACAGCCACCGGCATCACAGCCAGCATTCAGTGGACCACCCAATCCTCACCCCTCATCCGCAGCCGGATCCGCCTCAGCCTAAGCAGTCATCGGTGCAACAACCGCAGCATCAGCCTCCGTCTCCCCCACAGATGCTGCCCCCTCCTCCCTCAGAAATGCCTCAGCCGCCGCCTCAGGTGCCGCCTCAGCCGCCACCTCAGCCGCCAAAGTCTCCAGAGCCACAGCCCAGCAGCAGCTACGACCACATGCCCCCACAGCAGCAGCCGCAAGAACCAACCGCTGCCCCAAATCCCCCTCCGCCACCACCGCCGCCGCCTCCTCCTCCTCCACCCCTTCCTCCAGTCCAAATGGTGTCTCACCACTCGCTGGCGCCCACAATGTACAAGTTCAGCACCATCACCAGGCTGCAGAACCAGAAGGGTTCCCACAAGTTACCCGCTCACCTCCACGCCACAGCGCAGCAAGTTCTGCCCCCACCTCCGACGCCGCCAGCCGCACCGGTTTTAAAGCCTAACGTGAATCACATAGCTGCTAGGACCAATGTCCCTCCTCCTCCTCCCCCTCCTCCTCCCCCTCCACCCTCCATGCCAACCCCAGGGTCCGCCATGGCTGTTCTGAGGTTTGGCCCTCCAAGCCCGGCCGCCCCTCCTTCCTTCATCCCTCCACCTCCTGCTCCACACAGCAACGGTGTAGCATTCCCTCCTCCTCCGCCTCCTCCGCCCGCGCCCCCTGCCTCCATGAAACAGACTGTTTACTCCAACGGGCTCAAGCAGGCCTTCAAGGAGCGCTTCCCCAGTCCGCCAAGAGAACTCCTATCTCAGAATGGAGATCTCGAGGACTCCCCGCCGCCTGCTCCAGCTCCGCCCCCACCTCCTCCGCCGCCTCTGCCACCACCACCTCCTCCTCCCCCTCCTCCCCAGCAGTTCCCAATACCAGCCCAGTTCCCTCCTCCTCCTGGACCCCCACCTGCGCCACCCAAAACCTTCACCCCTGGCTTCATGCCTCACTATGCACCCAAGCCGATGTCTCCGGTCTCACCCTTCCCTCCTGCGCCTACTCCACCACCGCCACCCCCTCCTCCACCACCTCCTCCTGCGCCGGCTCAATTAAAGAAGCAGCTCAGCCTCCAGCAGGGCCACACACCCAGCCATCCTCCACCTACCCTGCCTAAGCAGCACAGCCTTTCTAAGGCAACTGGCATTTCCACAGGAGCCGCACCGACCGTGTCTTTGGTAAAGCAGCTCGCTAGTCAGTTTCCAGGGGCGCCGTCTCAAGTCGCTAATCACGCCGAGTGCCCTAAAGCTCCCCTCTCCCCTCCTGCTGTAAAAACGAAACCAAAATGGCAGCTTGGCGGTTCCCAGCAGCCTCAGTCTCCAGAGTTCCCGCCTCCTCCAGCAGAAAGCAACAATGGCTTCCCTGCACCGCCTCCACCCCCACCGCCTCCCCCAGCACCCACCACTGGCCCGACGCCACCTCCGCCTCCACTTCCTTCAGGAAACATGGGTTCTCCGTTAAGGAGATCCCCCTCCGGATCCTCGAATTTTGGTGGGAAGAAACCTCCTCCGACCCCTCAGAGGAACTCAAGCATCAAGTCCAACTCATCTGCCTCCTACGAGGAATCCAGGAGGAACTTGCTAAGCAAGTTTGCTCCCCAGAGCAATGCCGCCACCTCATCCCAATGTCCCATCTCCTCCTCCAATGGATCTCCTTCAAAGGACTCTTCCAATGGGCCACCTGCGCCTCCTAAACCAGGAAAGCTCAACCTGTCTAACTTGCCGTTGGGGCTGCAGGCCAAACAGGCCGGCGGCGACTTTCCATCTCCTCCACCCGAGTGCGCCAGCTTTCCACCACCTCCCCCGGTCTCTGAGCTCTTCCCTCCTCCCCCACCTCCAGAAAATGACACTCATAGCGGAGGTGTCCCAAGGGTAGCCGTGGTAAACCCTCAACCCCAAGCCCCGCCTCCACCACCGCCCGTCTCCCTTGTTAGCAACTCCATTTGGGCGAAGAACTCCCTGAAAAAGACTCCACCGCCCGCTTTAGGGCGACGAAGCAACGCCACCCCAGAGCCCCCTCCAAAATCACCCCCTCCACCCACGTCCCCAAAAGGTAGCTCAGGTCAGCCTAACTTCCTGGAGGATCTGAGCTTGACATTAAAGCGAAAGTCGGTGGGTCGCCAAGGTCCGGGCCTCCCCGGCAAGCAAGACCTAGCGGGGACTATGGACGACATGGCACTGCCTCCACCGCCTCCAGAGCTACTCCTGGACCAGGGGAAGCAGAGCAACGGTGGAAACGGCGGCTATATGTCCGGAAACATCTCAGGCTATGCAACGCTGCGAAGGGGACCGCCACCTGCACCGCCCAAACGAGGGGATGGGACCAAACTTACCGGATAACGTGGAAGTCTGAGATCAGGACGTGACGCAGCTGACTGAACAGACATTATTAGCTAAACGGATACGAGATCCTGAGCTGATGAAATTCACCTGATCATTACGTGACCTTGTATATAAAAAAAACCCAAATCCAACCACCAATTCCAAACAGTGCTTTTTTTAACACAAAGCATTGTAAAATAGAAGGATTTACAGTAACAAGACTGTTAAGACTGGACCAGGTGGGTGTGAAGGATCCAGGTCTGAGCCAAATCATTTTTTCTTTTTTTTTCTTTTTTTTGCCATGAAGATATGCCACATACTGAATAGAAAGAAAAAAAAACTGAACCACATTAGGACGTTTCTGCTTTGGTTACTGCATGAACCACATGTGACAACAAGCTGTAAAAAAAAAAAAAAAAAAAAAAAAAAAGGTGAAGCTGGTGTGCCTGCGTGCGTGTGCGCACACGTGTGAAAGAGAAACATGCATCGTCTGCATGCATGTTCACACATGGTGAAGCATTAAGGAAGGCTTTTATTGAATGTGGTGGTTTTGTTTTCTATTGTATGAAATTATTTAAAGACTGATTGTTTTAAAGTTTTTTTTTTTTTTAAGCTTTTTTTTAGAAGTTTTCCTTTAAGCAGGAACATGTTTGGTCCCAATAGCATTCCAATTTAACAAGTTTTTATGGGTAAAATCTCAATAAATTAGAATATCGCTGTCAAGGTGCCAAACTGAAGACCCAAAATTAAGTTCCATAGGATTTTTTTTTGTTTGTTTTTTACAGAAATACAGTTTAATTCTCAGCCACCAGGGGGCGCCAGAACTATAGCTTCAAGTTTGAAAGCAACTTGCAGCAGAAAAATAAGTTACCTACTGTGTTTTGAAATCTGAAAGCAGAGCGATTTGGACCAGCAGACTGAGAAGTTGTGGAGCTTCACCCTTCTACATTAAATAGAACAGCAAAGAACCCCAAAAAATATGTCTGATTTTGTATGTAAGCGTTAAGGGGAGCTCAGGCATGACTTATTCAGTGACGGATCTGACCGTTTCAAGTTCCATAGTTTATTTTTTTGACAAATATTGTATAGTTGCCTGAAAAATAATGTCATATTTCTCAAATTAGTTAACGATTAGGTCAAAAGTTGGCCAACAAAAACTATTACTGACAGAACAGCTGTCCAGCAGGTATGTTATACAGGGTTAGATACTAATGCTGGTCCCAAAGTGCTTATCTAAGCATTTTTTAAGGAAAGTTAAGTGGAAAGACAGTTTTTTATTATTATTTTACCTTGTTTATTCAAGTCCAACATCAGAATAACCAAGAGAAACTTTGTTTTCTTCAATTTATTTTGTTTTAATCAGAACTCCGCTGCTTGGACCGACTCCCAGAGTTACTCAGCATAAACCCAACAAAGAATGTTGAGGGTGTCCTGTAGATGAGAGTCAACAAAGATTGTGAGCATATATTAAACTCTTTAGTTGGCTGACATTTCTGTAGTTAAAATCCCTTTGACGGCTCTTATTAAATATTTCAATTTTGAGGGGTTTCAATTATTTACGTAACGCATTACAGATATTCTAATGTATTGAGATGCACCGGTAGTGTTAACTGAAAAATAATGTGGTGAAATATCTTTTTTATAACTCTGCCAATGCGGATTTGAAGGAAGCCTCATTCTGATCGCAGAAGTCCAGAGAAATGAAAAGTTTTTCAAAGACTTTTGCAGAGATTGCTGGACTTTGCAAAAGCGAGAAAATTCTACTTTTTTAATTTAATGCTAATTTAATTCCAGCTAGGTTTAAAAAGCGTGTTTATTTGAGCGGGGTAATTGTGTGTTGACTTGATTCTTGGACACCTCATCCTTTCAGCTTTCATCCTCCGTCACTGGTTCCTATGAGATCAACATCCTGACAGCAGGAATTTTATCTTACTACACAATGAAGGAGAAATATCAGGCTGTTAATGTACAGAGCATTACATTTTGTATTTAATAACCCATCTTCAGACTTGCATTAGACCGAATGTGCTTTGAATCCCGTCTTTTATTTCTTCATGGTGTCATTGCTGCTTTAGCCGACAGCGCACAATGACAGCAGTGCCTCAAAGGTGGAGCATGAAGGGTTTTTTTCTGCCTTTTTTCCCCAGCAGGTGCTTGTGCTGTCCATTTAGTCAACGTTCCTCCATGTGTCTCTTTGTGCCATGATGACAACTCTGTAATATTTCGCATAATCTAGCTGGTTTCCACATCCCTGCAGGTTAATTCCACAAAAAGGACTTCTTAATCATGCTTATCATTTGTCCGAGTTGGCTAAAGGCGACATATCTTAAATCACCCTGACGGGATGTTTGCTAGAGTGCAGTTTGTAAGCTATTAATGTGTTGAAGTGTGAAGTAAAGAAAAAGCCGGTTGAAGTAAATGTTTCCTCTTGCATATAAACTGAAAAATCCCAATATACATGTTCAAACTAGACCTCAACCCTGTTTCAGAGTCTTATTTGTTCAGGTAATGAAAATGCTATTAATCAATGATAAACATGAGTGTTCTGAACAGGTCTACTGCTCCCTCTAGTGGTCCCATGGTGCTCTACACCCTGTAGAAGGGATTGTTTAAAAAAAATCCATCGATGAAGCCTTGAAATGTCTGAATTATGATGCAGTATGGAAACTTTGTACTATATAAAGTAGGGCTGTTGCAGTCACTTTTACATCAGGCCACTTCAGCATCTTCAGGTCATAAATAAATCAATTAATTTTCACTACAGAGAGAGCACTGCTCTGGTATTACTCCTATTTATGTAGCAGTTTTAGCCACTTTGTACAACTTAAAGACGTTTGCCTCTATTTTAAAGATGACCAATACTGCTTTTATTTATTTATTTTTGAATATCTTGATGCTACTGCTGATTATTTTTGGGTCAATCCTTAAAGCCCATATTTATTTTTATTTCTCCATGTCCATAAGAATGATACAAGGATGCCATTTTCAATAAAAAAGGAAAGAAAAACCAAAGAAACAAAACAATGGATAGCAAATGTAGGTATCTTGGGCTACTAATGATCGATGAACAGATGATGCTAATAAAAAATGCTAATATCAGTGAAAGATCATTGATCTATTTCTATATTATGACGATATAACTGTTGGCGGTGGACGGTTTGATAATTCACCATGAGAGGCCACAGGCCTTGAATTTAGTGCATGTGAGAAAGAATTGATTAGTATGGAGGTTTTTTTTTCTCAAAAATAATCAAAAAGCCCAAAATGTCTGCATTAATACCAGAGCTGTAACATTAACACTAGTATCAAGTTAATGTTTTTTTTAGATTACACCTGAAGAAAATATGCAAGATTGGTATATTTAACACAATTCCAGTGAAATAAGGGCTCCATGGTGAATCTTTTTTCTAATTAATGTTAAAATTATCAATATAGAGCCCATCTGCAGCATCTTCTATAGTTTCCAAGTAGAGTTCAGGACTATTTAGGGACAGTTTTAGTTGATATTCCAATAGATCTTTGATTGAACACCAGGATGAGGAGGATCTTGTATTTTCTATTAAAGGGTTTGTTGGAGCCGAACATTCAGGGCTAAAACTAATCCATGATGGAAGAAATGAGCTATAATGTTGTGATTATACATATGTATATGATTATTACATTTTAAATAAAACCTAGAAACACTATTTTATGTTGCATAAACTACATAACTGGCTTTGCTTCTTGTTTTGTAGGAAATCCTGAAATCAAAAAGAACTAGGCACTTAAAAAGCAAAGACTAGTTGCAGTATTTTATTTTTTTATTACATTTAAAGATCTTTCACTTCTAGATAAATTAAAATCCTGATACAATTTATGGATAGAATTATTTTTTTTGTAAATAATAACTTTAATTCTCTTTTTCATGTTTTAAAGGCTAATTTGTTTCCACTATTTTACAAAATATACAATCTATACAAAAGGGAAGAAAAAAAAACAATATTTACAATGAAAAGCAGCTGATTTTTACCTAAAAAAAAAAGGAAACATGTTTGTCGTTAAGGTTGAGGTGCTTCAGCTGTGAAGTTGGAACAGATCATCCCTCCAGTGTTCCCATCAGAGGCTCCATGGCTGCAAGGAAGCAGGCTTCAAACTCCTCATCTGAGAAGCGTGCCACTGACTGGCGTGCGCTGCGTCTGATGTCCAGGCGGCTCTCAGGAGTTAGAGCCAGGATCTGCTCTATGGCTTCGGCGTAACTTTCCTCACTGTCTGCTAGGAATCCGGTTTGATGGCCTTCAAAAGGTCTGACGATGTCGAGCTTTGGACCCCCAGATCTGTGAGCCAGGATGACCTTTCCTGCTGCCATGCACTCCACCACCCCTATAAAGGAAACAGGAAATGCATGATAACCGCACTGAAATTAATATAATCATGTTTTTGTTTTTTTTACCAATTCCAAAGTGTTCATTCCACATGGTGTGTAGACCAATGGTGGCTTTGCTCATCTCCCTCTTCAGCTCTTCGAATGAAACGTTCAGTTTGAACTCCACTCTATCCGCCACGCCCAGCTCCTGGCAGAGTCCCCTAAGCATCAGAACTCTGTCTTCATCTTCCTGGTTTCTGCATCCGCCTATCAGAATGAGCTTCAACTCCTTTCGTTTGTCTAACGCCTTCTTAAAAGCCCTGATCTGCAGCCGGTGATCCTTCTCCGGCCTGAACTGCCCGACAGAAACGATGGAGTGGCACTTCCTGTCCCCGTCATCCTCCAGCGGGATGTCCAGGAAGGCACTTATGTCGCAGGGTGGGTACACCACGCTGGTGCGGTTGGGGGAACGCCACAGAGACAAGATGTGGTCGAGGGTCCAAGAGGAGTTGACCATGATGACGTCGCTGCAGGAGCCGGCCATCCCGTAGAGCACAGCAAAGAGGCAGTAGTAGACCAACTTGAAGGCGCTCAGAAACAGACTGTTTGAGATGAAGTCTGGGTTGTTGAACCTGCAGTAAATACTTTGAGTTACTTCAGTGGTTGGAAAGCAACGCATTGATAAAAGTAGATTGGTATTACCTTGGGTTCCGCTCCCTCACCACAGAGAGCATGTCGGTGCTAATGGTGGGATAGTGAACATAGCTCCCGACACTGCAGCCTCCCAGGTAGCGAAACAGCGGGAGAGTGAATGCGTAGCCCATGGAGTCTATATAGAGGTCCGGGACCAGCTCTGTCAGCGCCTCCCATCCCAAGAAGACGGACCCTATGCTCTGTCCCAGAAGGGTGAAGTGCGGAAACAGGCCGGGCTCCACAAGCACCCGGTGCTGCAGGAACACAAAGCGGACCTGTCGTGGGAGCACGATGTTGAAGCGTTGACGTGCTCCGTCCAGGATTTGCTGGCCAGTTACGCCCAGGTCCCCGGTGTAAACCACAAAATTGACGTCTGCATACCTGCAAAAAATACATATTAGAAAGCAGGAAAATGATCAAAAATGGTGATCGTTAGCATTCTGTAGCATGTCCTTTGCTGCAGTTGCTAACCTGTTAGGGGGGGATCTACCAGTTTAACCCCCGTCAGATTGGATGAAGAGAACTCGTATACAACTTTTAGGTTTTGCCAAAGATTCTAATTCAGATTTACTTCTGGACTTTGACTGATCCATTCTACTGCATTGGCCTACTTTAACTGTAGCTCAAGATGTGTGTTTAGTGGTGGGCTGCTATTGGGTGAACCTTTAAGTCCAAATAAAAATGTTTGGACGTGAGTTTTTCCAGTATTGCACTGTTTTTAGCTTAATTCACATGTCCAACAAATTTGACCACATTTTACGTCTATGATTAAGGAAAATAATGTGATTTAAATCTAATATCAAAAAGGTTCGTAAAATTTCCTTCGTTCATCTCCAGAATATAGCAAAAAATTGGAAATCTCTTGTCTGGGGGTGATGCTGATAGCCCAGGTTGGAGTATTGTAATTATTTACTATCAGAAAATCCACAAAAACTGCAGTTAAAAGCTTTCAGGTGATCCAAAATGCTGCAGCTAGAGTTCTAATGAAAATAAAAGAGATCATATATCTCACATCCCAGCTTCTCTTCATTGTTTTCCTGTAAAACCCAGAATAGAGTTTGAAATATTCTTCAAGTATAAAACCATAATTAACAAAGCTCTATCTTATATCAGAGATATGAGTGTTACTTTTGTTCCAAACAGACCACTTCGCTCTCAATCTGCAGGTTTACCAATAGAATTTCTAAAAACAGAATGGGAGGCAGATCTTTTAGTTATCAGGCTCCTCTTCTATAGAACCAACTACTAGTTTTAGTCTGTATGGAAGACACCCTGTCTATTTTCCTTTTTGATAAAGCTTACAGTTTGAGCAGCTCAGATTACCCTGAGCTATCTCTATAGTTATGCTGCTAGCTGCTATGAGCTTAGACTGCTGGAGGACATAGGGACCACTTTTTCTCACTCTGCTCCATTCTACTTCTTTCCTCTACTTTTGTCTGCGGTCCCCATCTGCCCATCCAAGAGGATTCTGCATCAAGTACTTGGGGGAGTGTTATCCTAGTGGTTAGAGCAGTGAGCTTGTGGTCTGAGGTTTCAAATATCCGGTTTGATGGGTTCCAGAGACCCTTAACCCCACACTACTCCCTGGGCACCACACAATGGCAGCCCACTGCTCCCTTAGGGAATTGATTAAATGCAGAGAATTAATCAAAGATCAATTATAATTATTTATTTTCACTTGATGTAATCAGCTGGGTTTCTTGTTTTAATATATAACCAATCTGTCTGTATGATTTGATTAAAATGTATCTCTAAAGTGCCTTAAGAAGGTGTGTTGTTAAATGGTGCTACATAAATAAACTGAATCTAATCCCTGCACCTTCTTACTGCCATCATGTCCACTGCAAGTCTTCAGTGATGGGCAGTAAAAGTTTTCCATGAAGGCAGCTTATTTTTGATACACTCCACAAACATATGCTCATCAGAAATGCGGTCTACCTGTTCTGCAGAGCCCTGATTGCACACCAGAGCACCCTTTCTCCTCCCCCTCCAGCATTGCAGTAAGGGTGGAAAAAGGCTACAGTGGGTCGACCCTCCCTCGCCCGGCGAGCGTTCCTGCTGCTCTGCAGCCAGAGACGAACAGCCAGCACCAGCAGGACGAGGACGGCGAGCAGAAGCACACACAGAAGCACCAGTGGGAGAAGCAACTTCCACAGCAACCTGAAATGAAGAGATGCTCAATGTGAATATGGCTCAGTTTAAGCAGCAGGCAACGCAGAGGGGTTTACAGGAGGAAAATGTCAGCAGGACTTAAAAGCATGACGTATGTAAAATAGGTTAAAATATCTGAAATATCAATGTTTAAATCTGTGCATTTCAACGTGAGTGTGAGAAATGCAAATTTTTATTTTTAATTGAATAATTAGGTTTATTCATCAACACAATCTATGTTCTATCATGTTTTTTTATGCACTCTAGCCAAACTAGACCAAGCTCTGCACTGGTGGCAACACCATTCAGTCAGACAGGCCACCTAGAAGTCTTTTTAACTGCAATTGAATCCCTCGATTCTTTTTATTCAAACGGCTTAATTCAAACAGCACCGAAAGAAACTAGAAAATGAGCACAGATTTAATGACTGAAATATATTAATCACACTACTCTAAAACTGTTGCATTTTTTCACAGTACATGCCAAATAAATAAGCTAATGTTGCGTTATGTTTTGTTATTTTCGAAAATAAGCTGTAAAAAAGAAAAAACAAAAATAAACTGAATATTCTAAGGCCAAACTATCCTCCGATCTCTGCTGTTTTTTTGCGTCTTACCTCGTTAATTCACACAAATACAAAACAAGCTGATCGTGAGCAGACATCTTTACGTCACTTCTTCGCCTTCACGTCTTCTCTCTCCTCACTGTGAGTTCTAGCTATATGGCGCCCCCAACAGGTCAGGCAGCAATACAGCGTCGAAGTACTTCTTGCAGTGTTTTATGGCGGTTGGCAAACTGATTAAAATGCATTTCCGCAACCAACTGATGAGGAGTTTAACAAGGAAACAGGAAATAAGACTTTTTTTGTTTTATTGCAAAAAAAGAACATACATGAACAATACAGAACATTGATAATTACAGACATATGCAACAAGAAAGGGATTTATAGTAGAAGAATTCCATGACTGTAAAAATGTCCATAGCAGTATATTGGTTTATCTTATAGTTTATCTTTTAACTCTTCACTATTATGTTATTCTTATAATTTTTTCTAAGGTCCACAATTGTGTGACCATTTTTTTCTCTGATCATTTTGCTGCTGTAAACACCAGACTTTCCACATTATTGGACAATGAAGAGATTTTCTATTCTATTCTATGTCTTTTTTTTTTTTTTTTTTTTTTTTTTTTTTTACAATTAAGGAGTATTCTTCAATTTTGGGGCACTCCTCCAAAGGTTTTGCAATAGTCGTTTGCGTTACTGTTGATTTGGGTTTTTCTGACTGGGATGGGATTCTTTTTGTAGCTTCAGCATAAATTATTCCGAACTCTAATTTCATTTTTTTTTATACTTTCAGATCTTTTGCTCACTTCACATCCATGATATGCATCAATATGTTCCTCACCACAGTCACAGCATTTCATTTTTACTTCTTTCCCACATTTTCCATGATCATGCTTTCCAGCACACCTTAAACATTATTGTTTTCCTTTACACACAGCTCCCATATGACTAGTTTTTTTGGCATTTAAAACATCTCAGCGGTGGAGGACTGTACATTTTCACATTGTAGCTCATATATCCAACAGCGTTGAAGTTTTAGGATTTAACTGGTTAAAGAAATATTTTACACATATTTTGATTATCCAATATTAAATGGCTTGTTGAAGAGATAAGTGACCAAATAAGTGACCAAATAATAAGGCCTCTGTTGATATCAGCATGTTTTCTGAAAGGAAGAGTTTTCTTAAATAAACACAGCTTCAAATCAATACCTTTGTATCTACCCCCACAGTTTGGATGTTTTCAGGGTTTGGACATTTTCAGTGTGGATCGTGACATAATGGCGACTCTTTGGGTGTTATTTTTTATTTTTTATTTTGAACTGCTTCTGAAAACGGGGCACTGCACAGAAACAAGGTAAAGGGCCTTATTTTAATTCCATTTGAAATGTGCTGCATTTTTCTCTTAAAGGGCTGAAGGGAAAAACAGACTTTGTCAGACAACAGAAATAGCACACTTATGTAAACATGTGAAGCCACGCTGTGTCATATACAATACTATAAAAAAAGTATTTTCCAATTACAAATTTTTCAAATGAGAATTTCTTTATGATTAAGAAATGAAAAGCTATCCCAACCAAAAGAATTCTAGCCCCACCCTTCTTTACTTTTTGTATTTTCAGCCAACATGTAGTTTATCTACTATGATCGGCCTCTTTAAAGGTTTTATCACAGATTCACATTTGGTCTTATATCCACACTTTGATAAAGTCATTCTAAAACCTTCTTTATCTGTTTTTTAAGCTGGTCCTAAACCGTCTTGCTGGAGCGCTTTAGATCATTGTCCTGCTGCACAACAGTGCTAAAGTACACTTGAGCTTAAGGTCAAAGCTGATAACCTCACATTGAACTTTATGAACGTTATTTGTTATTGCAGACCATCATACTACTACCATCATGCCTGCTTTTACTACATTAATTTCCTCAAATGTCAATGGTTTAAACAGGAATGTCTATTGGGTGCTGTGTTCTTTTTTTGTATTATGAAATCACAGCTTTAGATGTTCTCCGGGGTTCTTCTTTGACCTCCTGGATGAATTATTTATGCCCTCTTGGATTGGTTTTGTTACATCAGCTGTTCCTTGAAGGTTCATCATAATTTCCTGTTTTCTTCATTGGTGGATAATGAATAGATAGATTGACGGACGGACGGACAGTGTTAGAGTTTAAATATAAATTAAATCTAATTTTAATTAGATTTAAGACCTGCAGGTCTTTTACTCTCCCTCCTAAAATCTCACCTTATCAAACTAAAACTGTGCTGATTCTGTTCAAATTTGAAAAAGAGTGAAAGACAAATAAAACTAATCGTTTTCAAAATGTTTGGCTGGTTGAAATAAATGTATGCAATTTCATGCTGATAAATTCTATCGCTTGAATTTTAAACAATCCCAAATAATGTAAAAAAAGAAAACATATGTTTTTGTACCTCTTATAGGTTTTTATTCAGTTTATTAAGAAATAAGATAGATAGATAGATAGATAGATAGATAGATAGATAGATAGATAGATAGATAGATAGATAGATAGATAGATAGATAGATAGATAGATAGATAGATAGATAGATGGTAACAAGAATGTTTTCCAGACAGAACCAGGATGTCTTGGCTATCTATAAGCTCTAAAGAAATAAAAGCTTACTTTAAAACATAAACTTGTATTTTGTTGATAGTTTAAAAAATGGAAGTGTGAGGAAAAATAGAATTAAGACATTTGTTAGGTAGAAGAAATTTTGAAAGTGTATCCCTACAGAGGAGCTGATCAAACATTTCCAGTTTTATTAATTGTAACTTTTTTTATTTATTTATTTTATTTTATTTAGCAGTCAAGTTTTATCAATCACCCCTAATACTCAGGAACAAGTGGAAGTTTTGAGGAATGTGTCCACCCAGTATCAGGTAGAATATTTATTATCTTTGTCACCATTTATTTGTCTCTTGCAGGTAACAATTTTTTCTGCAAAAGTTAACTTTGCTCATTTTGTCTTTTTCCCCTTAGACAGGTTTATGGAAGCCAGCTTCACCTCACAATATAAAAGAGCTAACTCAAGTCCACCTGTACGTTCCTGCAAACAGCTCAGAGACAGTCAGGAACCTGCTGCAGAGACACGGCATTACTCATGAGTCCGTCCCTCATTTTATGAAGCACTGCTGCATTTTCAGGCCTTCTTTGTGTCACTTTAAGGTCCCTGCAACCTGCTGTGTGTTTTTTACTGCAGGGTGTTGCTATCCAATGCAGATGAAATTATAGAAATGCAGATGAGGAACGAGTCTGGGGATCCAAGAAGTGGCTCGACGTTTTACCAAAGATACCACAATTTGGAGGATGTGAGACCCACAGTTAGACGTCTTCTACATAGGAGTGATCATAGTGTTGATGTTCACAATTAAACATTTCTCTGTTGTAGATCTATAAGTGGATTAACAGAACGGCACACGAAAACCCTACCACAGTTAAAGCTATTCTTATTGGCTCCTCATATCAGAAGAGACCACTTTATGCTCTGAAGGTAAAGCTCCATTTATTGAAAATAAAATCACTAACCTGGTTTGACAGTTCTGTCCGTACCCAGAGAACAGGGATGATTCCAGCCAGTCTACTGAACAGACGCAGCAGACGCTGTCAGAGAGTTCCAGACATGGAAGCCTAGAAGGCTGCAGGGGTGACAGGAGATCAGATTCAAGGAGATGAATGAAGGCAGGATAATCCACAGGGCGAAGTCAAGAGGCAGATCCAGGTTCAGTCGACAGATGAATCCAACAGGGCCTGAAGACAGGCCAGGCAAACAGATCAGACAGGGGCAGGCAGGCTCAAAGGTCCAAATACAGAAACAGGTCACACTATAGTAACGCTGGAGAACTCTCGACACCAACCTGGCACTGATGGCTGGGAAACATGCAGCTTATATAGGAAACTGGAATAGTTTGATGTGATGAGTGACGAGGAACAGGGCAGAGCTAGACAGGTGAAAAGAGCAATCAAGCCAGCCATCAGCGCCAAAATCATAACATATTTGAATAGACTGAGAATGTATTTGAAAAAAAAGAGATGAATCTCAACTGTTAAAAATTTAAGTGAGAATATATTTATATCAAGTGAATCAATTAACTTATCTTGATTATTTTTGTTGTACTCAATGGCAAAGACCTGTATATCAAGTTATGTTATGTCTCAATGATTATGGTAGTTATTTATTTATTTATGTAGTTATTTTTAATTATTGCCAGCATACTAAAGGTAAATTAAGGTATTTGATGGACCTCACCTAGTAATGTTTTTGGAGGATGTCAGATTAAGTGCACAGAACCCCAAACATGCAAATTCTACTTAGAAAAACAAGCTCAGCTTTAAACCCAGGACCTTGTTGCTGCAAGGGGATCATGCTGACTGCAAAAGATTTCCTCTAAATCATCCTTGCCATGCCTGTTTCTGCCTCTATCCTGATTGATGGATGTTAATTTACATTTATATTCTAACAACTACATTGTTGTAAATAATTCCTCCTCAGGTGAATAATAAATGATAATAATAATTATAATATTGCTTCAGATCAAAAGATTATTTTAGTTCAATTGAGTAAATAATGGTCTGATCTGTTTAAAGACTATCTGTAGGTTTTTATCCAAGCACAGAGGGCCTTTATTCCATACTTAATCGTTTTATAGATGCTGCTTTGATTATTTAAATAGAGTCTGAGGACAAATGTTGCTCTGCTTTGTTTTAGCTGTCTCTAAATAACAGGCCAAATAAGAAAGCCATGTGGATCGACTGTGGGATCCATGCCAGAGAGTGGATCTCTCCTGCTTTCTGCTTGATTTTCGTTCAATATGTGAGAGAAACTTTTGAATATTTGAATATATTCAACCCACAAAATTAATCTGAGTCTGTTTGTTTGTTGTTGTTGTCTTGCATCTCGGGGATCAAACAGCAGCTACTCTTTCTCTTACAGTCGCTGTCGTTTTACAAAGTGAACTCAGATATTACTCAGATCCTGGACAACATGGATGTCTACGTCCTGCCTGTCATGAACCCAGATGGATACAAGTACACCTGGACAAAAGTAGGATCATGTGGAACAAAAGCCAAACGTTTTGTTACAATAAGTTCTGGTTCCGTCTTATTTTGCATAATCTGATCATTTTTGAGACTGCCTCAATATCTGTACACAAAGTTTTTCCTCCTCTTTATTTCAGGATAGGATGTGGAGGAAGAACCGTTCCCCCACAAACGGCACGTCCTGCATCGGAGTGGATCTAAACAGAAACTTTGACGCCAACTGGTGTAGTAGGTTCCTAGAATAGAAAGCCCTCTGAGGTTTTACAAATACAAAAGACCAAAATATGGCTTATACAGTTTGATTATCCTCTCCGCAGCAAAAGGAGCCTCTCCTGACCCCTGCTCTGAGATCTACTGCGGCGCCTTCCCTGAGTCGGAGCCAGAGTCGCAGGCTGTTGCCAACTTCCTGCGTAGCAACAAGGACATCATTCAGATCTACTTGAGCATCCACTCCTACTCTCAGATGCTCCTCATCCCCTATTCCTGCACCATGGATGAAGCTGATAATCACAGTGAACTGGTGAGCACTGCTTAAATTACCTAAAATGTACCAAAAATCAGAGTTTCATGTGTATTTTTCATTTTTTCCACAGTATGAGATGGTCAAACAAGCTGCAGAGAATATTAGAAGATACTACAGGAATGTGTACACATATGGAGCCGGCGCTAAAACAATATGTAAATATTTATGCAATATCCTTTTGACTTCATGAAGACACGTTATTTCATCCTTTTCTCTTTGCAGATCTGGCTCCCGGTGGCTCTGATGATTGGGCGCATAATCTCGGCATTAATTACTCCTTTACGTTTGAGCTCCAGGACCGCGGGCGCTACGGCTTCCTGCTGCCGCCATCTTATATTCAGGGTGCCAGCAATGAAGCTCTTATTGCGTTGAAGACCATCGCTCTGAAGGTCATAGAGAAAACCCAAGCTGCAGCAGGTTCCCCTCAAAATGTCTGAGAGGGTTTGACCTGCAGCTTTGATTGGATATTTAAATGTTGTCAATTAATGACACTGAATACGAGGAATCATTAGAAAGTGTTAAGAAATGTTGATGTGTATGTAGTGAAAAAATCTAAATTGATGCACAATAATGAACAAAGAAAAATTACAGTCACAAGTTGGTGAATAAATAAGTGTGATTTTTTTCAGTTTTTTTTCAACTTCAATCTCATTATTATTTTTGTATATATGTTTGTCTAGCCAGAGGAGGAAAGTATGGATCTGCATAGGCGGTGGTCTGCTTTTCCCCCTGTGGTGGGGCCACTGCTGATCTTTGTTTACTTTTCATTTAAGAGTTAATGAAAAATAATAAAATTATTCAAAAATACTCTGTTTGAGTGACTTAAATCATTGAATCTCAAAGTGAGGGTCGTGACCCCACTTGGGCTCCTTGATCAACTAGTATGGCGTCTTCAGATCCACTACAGAAATTGAATCAAACAATAAACATTTATGTTAAAGTGTTTAAATATAAAAAAGCATCACTTAAAAAAAAGAAAAAAAAAACTACCTTGGTTGTCGATGCATTTCGCAATATAGTAACACCCATGTTAATTTTATATTGGTAGGAGCATTTGTCTACAAAACCATAATTCGGGTCATGAGTTGACACTGGTATCATTATGATAGTCGGCAGCTAATACATTCCGGGAAACTAGAAGTTTGATGATCAAATACTTTTAATATGCATCATTTTAATCTCATTACACACCAAACAAACAGTGTATTTAGCCTTTTTCTTCTTTCAAAGGGGCCTTCAGCTTGCAGCTGCTAAAATCCCCAAACAACCTTCTCTCATAGTAAAATTTAAAAAGGTTATTAATTAATTCATAAAAAACCTGAATAAATTTGTTTTTTCATTGCAGCAATATTATGTCTCTGTAAATTGCGCGTAAATGACATGTGTTGTAAATTGGCCCTAAAAAAAATAAACTGAACCAAACTGAAATAGTAATTGTAAAGGCCTCCTTAGTAATGGAAAAGGCAGAACACAGTCACGGACACTTCAGTGTAAAAGCTGGATGTACATATAGTTTTTTAGTGATTTGTTGTTGTTTTTTTAGTTAAGTGGAAAGAAAAAGTTTCATAGAATAATGTGTGCATTGAACAACCTGTTCTCTAAAACGTATGTTCTGTGATAACAAATAATTGTAAAGATGAATATAAGTATGTACAATTTCATATATTTCACACTATGGCTGTTGACAGATTGATAATTTGGCCTGAATACCATAATCTTTACAGTTTACCATTTTGTAACAGATTGTTACTGGTATATTGGATGATCCAAAATCAAATCAAAATGGGTTTTAAATACATAAATACTGAGGAGAAAATAAGGGGTTTAAATGTTTACATTCAAATACATCTAGTATAGATACCTAAAAAGTGTACTTAAGTACAGTAAAGAAGTATTTGTACTTCTTACTTATTCAAGATAGTGGGTACAGCACTTGACGCTTATACCACTGAACCAGGAGTAACATTAGAGGTTTGTTTAAATAAAAAGTTCTTCACTGTTAAGCAGGATTGAATTATAAGACAGATCCCAGACCAAGTATTGGGTTAATATAGATCAGATAAAGTTTATTTAAGATAAAGATTAATATTTATTAAGATTTATTTATGTTTGAAATCTAACCCCAACTCTAAACCCGACTTTTGCATTTTGAAGCAATGTACAGAAGACGATTTGGGCCACTGAAAAATAATTTTTAAAAAGTTACTTGATTTTTAAATTTTATTTCAGTTCAATATTGGAATTTTTCCCTCAGAATTCTAACTTTAATCTTGGAATTCTGACTTAATTCTCAGAATTCAGACTTTTTTTCTCAGAATTCTGTCTTTAATCTCAACTTAAACTGAAATAGAATAAAACGTTTTTTTTTTTGTTTTTTTTTTAAGAGGATTAGGGCCACTGAAAAAAAGGTATCTGATTTTTAAATTTTATTTAAGTTTAGTATGGGAAAAAATATTCTGACTTTTTTTCCATATTAAACTGAAATAAAATAAAATCCTCATTCCTATCTTCCGTAGCAATTTTAAAAAGAAAAAATAAAGAAAATAGTTGCCTAGTTTAGAGCAAAGTAATGAGAAAGACACTGGTGGCGGTAATGCCTCAGCTGGAAGCAGAGAGAGTCCTTCAATTCTACCACAGAAGAAGAACGAGTAGCGAGCGGCTCTCCGCCAACATGACGCCTCTCAAGGCATTCTCCGGCTTCGATTTGAAATAATAAGCACAATAATAAGCACACACTCAGCTAACAGGTCTAAAGTAGATGCGACACCAAAACAATATCCTGGGTGAGACTTGCTTTATAAATTAGCATGTGTTAGCTTGTATCCTGCTGCAGGGCCCTTGCTAATGTTAGCATTAGCCGCTAATTGATTGGACTCTCCCGTTTTAGCTGGTTGAAGACCTTAGTCATTTGTATGGTTGTTATCTGAAACTAGCTTTCTTATGTTTAATACTAATTATTATAGATATGTAGTTATTTGGTAATAGGCTCTAAAATCTTAAGCTTTGCAGCATTTCTGCTGACTTGTTTCAGCAGGAAAACATTTGCGATGCATCTGTTGCGTATCAACTGCTTTAATGGTCACTAGCTGAATGAGCTTTGCTTCTATTTAAAATATAAAGTCCTATTTACAGTGGTCTGCATTTAATTTATTGCTGGAATTTCCTTTTATGTTTTACAAGGTTTTAAATAAACACAAACTGACATGAATTGGCAGTAGAACCTAGCTAAGGCTTAGAAATTAGGATTTGAGATTACTGAATCAGTAATACTGATGGGGGATCAGAAGAAAGAGTGGTGCTTAATACATCCTTTCTCAGTTTTCTCTTTGATTAAATTAAACTTTATTTGGCCAATTATCAATCAGTGCTGTATTATGATCTGATCACAATTGGTTATATGCTGTGCATTATTAACTCTACTGAAAAGCACACTGCTCAAACATGTTAATGTTGCAGTTTTGTAAATCCAACAAGAAATAAAAGATTTCTTCTACTTAAAACAAAGTGCATCATGTTGCCAGATGATGTATTTAATGAAAATTCTTAGACATCTTATTTTAAAATAATTTAATGGACAATGCAAAATATATATATATATATTTTTTTTCTTAAAAATTTTCAGAAATCCAATCTATTCCAATATTTGGTGGACTTAAACCATATTTCTTTTTTCTTGTTTTTCAAGTCCTGCAGAATGTCCAAGATCAGGCGGAAGGTGACAGTGGAGAATTCAAAAACTATATCCGACAGCGGGAGCAGCAGCAGCACCACGACCAGCAGCGCCACCAACCCCGCCGCGGCGCCCTCTCGCAGGCCCAGCGTGTTTGAGAGACTCGGTCCCAGCACTGGTAGTAATGCTGCTGATGTGCGTATTGTTCAGTTTTTCTCTTTTGCTACAGAGATCTAAAGATGAGACTGTTAAATTGTAAAAAGTTGGAGTCAACAAGTTGTCTTATGGTTTGGGATGATCATTCTTCTCTAGGTATCACTTCTGCATTTTGCTATATTTAACAAAAACTGGATAAGAACCTGTCCTCATCTATTTGGCTGACCATCCATCCATTTTTCTATTTATCCTACCATTATTGTATTCATCCATCCATCCATCCATCCATCCAGTCATCCTTCTTTCTATGATTTTTTTTCTTTTTTTCTATTTAAAGCATTGGCTTAATTTTTTTTTTCTTTTAAGTCCAAAAGAAAATGTAGTGGTAGTTCCTTAAAAAACGTCATCTGCTCCTTTTAATTAGGAAAAATGTGTAATTAAGACATATTGTGTAGAAGTTCCTTAAGGTAATCAGATTAACCCCTTATGTGCTCTCAGAGTCACTGCAGAAATTGGCTGAAGACTGGTACCTGCAGTTACGGCAACACTTGCCGCTATACACATGGAACTCAACCCCGAAGCAAAGGATTCACCTTCAGCCGGTGAGGATTAAATGCAGATCAGTTTGTTTTTTTCTTCATGTCTAGAACAAATGGAACGCTGATTGTGTGTTTGTGCGAGCAGGACAACCGAGAGGCCCACAGGTGATCTGCGGGAGAGGATGAAGAATAAAAGAAAGGATGTTGACCCGGAAAACCTGAAGAGAGACCTAGACGAGCAAACATCTCCCACAGTAAGAGTACGTCACAATGTTAAAATAGATAAATAACACTTCTAATGAAGCTACAAATTTGCCAGTCTCCTCCGTTTGAAAAGATCTGTATAAACGGATCTGTATGTTGATACTCCTGCAGCAGAGAGATTCCTCTAGAGGGCGACACAGAGAGAAGGAGGACATAAAGATAACGAAGGAACGTACCCCGGCCAGCGAAGAAGAGACGGCTGAGTGGGAAACTAATCGTGAAGGTGCAGTGCCAACTTTGACAAACAAATAGTGGTTCATTTAAAATTTTGGTGAAGACCAATACAGTCAGTTTTATTTACTTTGAATTTGTGTGAGTGTGCTGTAGAGCTGCAACTAACGATTATTTTGCAAATGTAACATCTGTCGATTACTTTTTTCGATTAATTGATTATTAATCTGATAGCCAAAGATTCCTCAAAGAAGAATTTTTACAAAATGAAACAAAGGTAAAACTAAAACTTTTCCACTTAAGGAGTTCAAAATAGAGCAGATTAACAGACAAAAAATTTATTTTCTTTACTTTTTCTTAAATGCAAAATATATTTTTTTGAATGATATTTATTTAAATTTTTGTTCAATTACTGCTCTTAGTGGGTTGCTCTGTCAGCTAAATGCATGTTTTAGTGTCTACACTCCAGCTTACGATTAATCAATTGTTAAATTAGTTGGTTATTTCAATATCAATTAATCACGATTAATCTGATTGTTTTTCACCCCTAGTGTGCTGAGAATTTTTTTATATTATTGTTTTATATTAACGTCATTTATATGAAAATTAAAAAAAAAGAAGGACATGTTTTGTAATTTGGGGGAAAAAAATACAATCCTGGAACAATTTTTTGAAAAAGCTTTTGGGAATAACTGCATTTTTTTGTTTCATTTGTTTTGCTTTTTAAATCTATTTATCAACACACTTATATATATTTTTTTTTACAGATTTTATATGAGCTGTTAAACTACATGCTAATAAACAAGAGATTCTTATAGTCTAAATTCTTTCGTTCAGTATTCTGCTATGTTACTCTTGGTGGAATGAAAAATAGAATTTGCACTTAAGACAAAAGGACACACATGAAATCTTAACAGTTCTAAAGAAGAATACTTTTTCTTATTAATAATCTCAATTTATTTTAGTAGAGTATAAAAAACGGCTGATTATTCTTCTCATGTGAGGAAATTAAAAGTTTATGGCTTGAAAATATAATGATTAAATAGTATTTCCACACAGTCTGAAATTTTACTTTAGTCTTTTTAAGGTCTAGAAAAGTTAAGAAAATGAGATTTTATAAACATGTTTGTGTCTTGAACCATCTATTATTTATCCATCCAAATCAGCTAAAATGCCTAAAATAAATACTTTAGGATATATTGACTTCTATTCAAAGTTGATAGTAGTCATTAAAACTGAAGGATATTATGTGTATATGTGTGTTATACTTGTCCTGAGAATTGTCAGATTGTCTTCTTGCTTTTAAGTTGCATTTTAATGTTCAGATTCAGATATTGGTGACTACGACTACGAGTTATCCCTTGAGATGAAGCGGCAGAAAATTCAACGAGAGCTGATGCAGCTGGAGCAAGAGAATTTGGACAAGAGAGAAGATGGTGCCAAGAAAGATGAGACCCCCACCAAAACAAGAAGCGCGGGTTTGCCAAAGGTAAGAAACACCTGGCGGTGAAATTTAACCGCTGCTTTCTCGTTATCGCGGCCCTGTTAGACCTCCTGTCTTCCCCTCAGGTGTCCGGTGAGCTGTTAAGCTCTAAAGAGTCGCCCACTTCCAGAAAGTCCAGCAGCTCCCCCAAACACAAAGGGGCCGCCAAAGGAGCCGGCTCTGGAAAGAAGGAGAAGAAGACATCAGTGGCCGTAGCTGTGCCAGAAACAACCAGGTAGGAGAGTTTTACAGTTTATATGAAATGAAAAAAATAACCTGTAAGCTGCTATGATTGAGAAACAGAAAATCCCTTCCCCTCCTTGCAGTTGATGAAGGCGGCATGAAACCGACATTGATTCTTGTTATTTTTCTTATTAGAGCGACAAAAGGCAGCCATGGCAAGAAGAAAGGGCCGCGCACGCCTAGTCCTCCTCCCCCGGTCCCTTTGGACATTCCTGTGGTTGGGAAGAAGCACAAAGGCAAACACAAAAACAAGGAAAAGGCCGAGGAGAAGCAGAAGGAAGGCAAGGATCGGGGCAGAGATACAGAAAAACACAAAGAGAAGAAGGAGAAGCGCAGGTGAGAGCTGCAACTCAAGATGTCTGAATTTTTTATGTTATATTTCCGTGTTTTCTGTTTATGTGACAAGTCAACAAAAATTGGTCCATAAAGAGGATTGACATGTCCTAAACCACTTAATGCTGTAGTTAAGATTTCTTGTATGTTTAACCATTTTTTCTTTTTTTTCCCCCCCTAATATAGCTAAAACAAAACATAGATGCAGTGATTTTTTTTTTTTTTGCCTCATGCACTCAGGTGCTCTGTTGGCTCTAGTTGTGGACTTTGACTAGACCATTTTAACAGACAGATATGCTTCCAATCATAATTTGGTGTACAGCTTTCTTTTTACCCCTTTTGTATATTACAGTTTGTTTCTTTTATTGTTTTTTTATGTTTTATTTTTGTAAATTTTCATGTTTTAATTCAAATGTTGCTCCATGCTTTATTTTCTCCTATTAATTTTATTTGCAGGGATCGTTCAGACAGTTCCCACAAGGCCAAGCGTGTGGTGACATCAGACGATCATTCGGGCAGCGTGTCTCCCTCCAGGGATGCTTCGCCTCCAGCCAGGAAGAAATCTGCCTCTCCCAAAGTGTCTTCCCATAAAACCTCTTCCTTATCCTTCTCCTCTCAAAGGTTTGGACCTGTGGGCTCCCACATTCTCTGTTCTTTCTTGTCTTGCTACTTTAGATGATTTATTATTAAAATATCTGCGATGACGGTGTTCCGTCCCAGCAGGTCTCCTTCCCCCCTACGCCACCACCGCAGCCCGACTCCTTCTCGACATCACTCCCCCTCGTCCCACTCCGGGTCTTCTGGCCATCGCCACTCCCCTTCTCCTCGGCGGCGGCGCTCTTCGTCCCCCAGCTACCACAGAAGCTCCGGGTCGCAGATCGCCGCCTCCTCGCCTTCCCACTCGCGGCGCTCCCGATCCCCTCATGACGCGTCCTCCCCACATCGACGGTCCAACAGGTCGAGCCCTGTCAGGCACCACTCCAGGGGGAGAGAGAGGAGCCGCGGAGAGCGGGAAAGGACCCCGCCAACTCAAGAGCGCAGACATGATCACAGAGATGGTAGCTTTGCTTTCCAGGTGTATCTCAACTATCAAAGCTCTTTATTTAAACGCATGAATGCCTTAATTGGATCCTGTTCTTAACAGAGAGCCGGAGCAAGCGAGAGAAGGAACGTGATGATCGCGACTACGACTCCGAGATTGTCTCCTCCAGAGACGATCGGGAGAGCAGAGAGGCCCGTGATCGCAGGGACGTTCGTGAGAGGGGAAGGGAAGCGACCCGCGATTCCCGGGATAACAGAGACAGCAGGGACTTGAAGGACTCGAGAGAGTGCAAGGCGGAGACCCGCTCTAGCCGAGAGTCGCTGGAACGCCGGGAACGGGAGAAGGAGAGGGGGAGGGAAAAGGAAAGAGACAGGAGTGACGCCTACAGGAAGGAGGAGCTAGGTTCAGACGACAGGGCCTATGGAAGAGGCCATGGACGGGACGATGGAGGCAGAAGCGAAGGGAGGACCGAGAGCAAGGCGGACAGGACCGAGAGGACCAGCAGAGGAAGGGGACGAGCCAGTGACGTATCGGATAAAGGTTTGCCTCATCTCACTCTGCAGTAAAGCATTTCAAAGGCTTATCGCAGGTGGATTTATTCCACGATCATGTATGCCAGGCTCAAACAGAAATTCACGCAATTCCCAATTGGATGGCGGCTACGACAACTGGGAGTCACGGAGCAGCACGGCCCGGGACCGAAGCGTGGAGAGGAGCGGCGCCGAGAGGAGCTCCGACAGGGCGTCAGAGCGCGAGCGCTATGAGAGTGACAGGCGAGACCACGCTAGAGACTCCTCCTACGACAGGAGGGGAGGACATGGAGAGCGGGAGCACAGAGACAACCGAGAGAGAGGCGGGTGTCACGTACATTCTTTGTCTACACGGCTGCCGCTGCTTTACAAGCTCTAGTAAAATGAAAGAGCTGTTTATAAAAGGACCTTTTACCTTTTCAGGTTCTCCAAACAGATATCAGAGGAGGTCCGAGGAGTCTGAGAGGGAGGAGAGGAGGACGGACCGAGCAGAGGACAGGCGGGACGACAGGGGTCGTGAGAGGGACCGAGACAGGGAGCGGGAGAGAGACAGGGAGCGGGAGAAAGAGAAGGAACGAGAGAGGGAGAGAGAGAAGGAACGAGAGAAGGAGAGGGAGGCGGAGAGGGAACGGGCCAGGGAGCGAGAGAGGGAGAGGGAAAGAGAGCGGGAGAGGGAGAGAGAAAGAGAGAGGGAGGAACGGGAGCGTGAGAGGGAGCGGGAGGAGAGGGAAAGGGAGAGAGAGAGGGAGGAGCGGGAGAGGGAGAGGGAAAGAAAGGAAAGGGAGAGAGAGAGGGAGCAGAGGGAACGGGAGAGACAGAGGGAGTGGGAGGAGCGGGAGAGAGGGAGGGAGGAAAGGCGGGAGAGGAGAGACGACAGCAGGGATGAGAGGACGGTTCGAGACGACCGCAAAATCAGGCACGTCAGCATCGACCATCTTTCTGTTCTGTCTGTTTAAATCCGTCTGCCTAATAAATATAGGAAGAGGGCCGGAATACGGAAACACATTTATCCATTTTATCCATGTTTGTTGAGTTTGTCTATAGTCAATGAGACTGTATATTTTACTTTTGATTAAAAGCAACACAATATATACATAAGATTTTTTTGTATAATTATAAAAAATCTTTGAGGATGCATGAAGAAGCAAAGGAAAAAGGGCAAATGATGTCTAAAATAAATGTCCTAAATATATGATTTATTGCATTTTATGGCTAAATAATACTTCCATTTATTATCATTATTTTAATGTTTCCTATTTCCAACCACCATAAAATCATTTTGACTAGCAGTGGCTAATGGATTCCAACATTCTTCTTTTATATTTGTAAACAGTTATGTCTTGAATGAATAGAAAAGCATGATTTTAGATTAACCATTTTTATAGTATTTTGTCTTAGTAAATGTTATTAAAACGCTTAAGTAGCCATGGGTAATTACCTTATTTGAATATGTGTAAATATCTTCTCTGTGCAGCCGTAAGAGGCTCCGAGTGGAGAGCAGTCCGAGCCCTCAGCCCCTCCCTAAGCGGACGACGCGGGACTTCAGCCCGGCAGACAGCGACGGCTACAATAGCAGTGAGGACAAAAGTGAGCGCCTGACCGGCCGAGGGCAGCCCAAGCTCCACCCACAGCCCCTCCTCCCCAGCCCTGTGTGTCCGCCTCCATCTGACAGTAGGAAAAACCTTTTTGAAACGGACACACACGTGTTAAATTTGCTGCTACAAAGCAAACACACCCTTTGTTCATTCTCTGCAAAGTTTATTTGGAGTAAAATCTTAATACCAGCAAGCGTTTTATCTAAAAATCTAATTTCACATAATTTATTGCAGATGGAGGGATTATCCTTTGCCTATTTTGCCTTTCACTTAACTTTCCGTCTCCTTGAATGCAGCATTTACTTACAGCTAAATTCTGAGTTGTATTTAGGTAAATGTCCCCTTTTATATTTGTGATCTTGGGACAGAATAACATTGCTTTGTTCTTGCTGTCCTGATGATTGCTATGGACACATGGTTACCCAGAGTTGGTGCTCTTTGCGGGTAGCGATTTCTAAATGAATAAATCTTTTTCCTATAGTAGTTTTTACTTTTCTCTTCATCTCAAAGTTCAGGTGCTGATTTTTTGTGTCTTGTGTGCAGATGGGGATAAACATCGCCTGCCTAGCCAAGTGGTGAGGCCCCAGGATCGCTTGTCACGGTCGCCTCAACGTAGCAGCACTTCTAGTGAAAAGGGCGCTTACTGGAAAGAAGAAGAGCGCAGGGGAGCCGGGGACAAGCGGGAAGCCCGCAGCCGCAATGACGACACGGAGACGCGTGCAGATCGAGCCAGGGGAGGCGAGAGACGTGGAGAGTACTTCGCAGACGTGTCCTCAGACTCTCGCAGCAGAGGTAGAGACCAGCGAGAATCGACTCCACCCCCTCCGCCTGCAGCCCTTCCCGTCGGCGCTGAAAGCAGGGAGGCCACTGGTCCTCCGCCACACGAGGAAAGCAAAAAGAAGACAAAGACACAGAAGAAGGGTTTGAAGAAAGGCCGTAAAGACGAGGATGTCAGTGGGGGAAACATTTTGGTCCCGGCAGCGGAGAGGTTTAATCCGGAGCCTCCTGCCAGCACGTCTTCAGATGTTCCTATCCACTCACCGAGGAAAGGAGCCAAGAAAAAGGGACACGAGCGGAAGAGGAAGAGGTCCTCAGGAGGGGAGTCTGATGTGTCTCAGGAGGAGACGTCTGCCCAACAGCCTCAGAACAAGAGGAAGAGAGGTCCTCGGACTCCGCCGCCCTCCATGAGGCCTGATCGTCATGGGACAAACACAGAGCGCTCCCCCGTTTTCAAATCAAACAATTTCAGCGATTGGTCCGACGAGGAGGAGCCGGAGCGGGTGTGTCCGGCGGAAGTGCAGGCTCCTCCGCCTCCTGCTGAGAGGACTCCGTCAGAGCCTCTAAGGAGAGGCGGTGGCCACAGGATGGGTAGAGACAGGGACCGGGGTCATGCTCCCACTATAGCCCCACTTTTATCCCCAGACCCCCCGATGCTGCTTCAAACTCTGACGCCACAGCCGCTCATGTCCCAGCCGCTCATGTCCCAGCCGCTGCTCCGGAAACCGCCACCGGAGCAGGCGCGCAGCAGCAGTATGGGGAGCACCCAGAGCCGGACATCATCTCGACGCCCGCGGTCTCCTTCCATCGAGTCGCCCTGCCTGGAGGACCCTCAGGGTCCACGCATGCGCCGCGGCAGGCCGCAGGGCTCCCACTCCCGAGACCGGGAAAGGGAAAGAGAGCTGGAGCGCGAGAGGGGGATGGTGGGCGATCCTCCTGGGGGCGAGAGGAAATCCCGAATCGATCAGCTGCGCAGAGGAGAGCCCAGTCGCAGCACCTCGTCCGACCGCCAGGATTCTCGTAGCCACAGCTCCAGGCGCAGCTCCCCGGATTCAGAGAGGCAGGGCAGGTCCAGGTCGCGGGCCGGCTCCTACGACAGTAGAGAGAGGGAGAGAGAAAGGGAGCCTTTTGAACGGGACAGAGAGCGAGAACGTAAGGATTTCCGCCCCCAGCAGAACCAGCAGCCGCCCCTGCACCTCCAACAGCCAATTCAACCGCAGAGAGACTGGGAGCCGGAGCCGAGAGACTGGCCCAGCAGGGGGCGGGAGCCCCTCCTGATGCGTCCTGTTCGGGAACCCCTCCTCAGAGGCGAGAGGGACATCAGGGAACGGGAACGCCTGCTTCCAGAGGGACTCATCCAGCAGCACGAACGCGAGCGGGACAGAGACAGCCGGGGGGACCGGGGCATGGATCGAGAGAGGTCCATGTTGGACCTGCCTCCACATGCTGACCCGAGAGCGCCGGGCAGAGGAGACGCACGAGGCGACATAAGAGGTGACCTGATGAGGCAGGACAGGAGCGACTTCGAGCCACTGCTCCCAAGAGAAGCCTTCAGTCCAGCAGAACCAGAAAAATCCAGCAACAGCCATCTCCCTGGAGATCAGCGTGAGCTGGAGAAGGCTGAAAGCATCGATGGTGAGAAGATCAAAACATTTTAAAGTCATTATCTGCCTTTAAATTAAAAAAATGTATTTCTTTCAGGCGATGATGATGGAAAAGAAGACGAGCAGTCTGTTGCTTCTGTAGCAGAGGAGTATGAACCCATCAGCGATGATGAGCTGGATGAAATCCTGGCCGACAGCCAGAAAAAGGAGGATCAGCAGGAGGAGGAGAAAATCACAGGCATGGCTTCAGAATTTTCTTCTTTCACTTCTAGAATTTCCTCATCTTAAACAAAATCTCACAAACCGTTTTTCCCTTTGTTACCTTCTACCCTACAGGTCCCCTGGATGTGATTGACGTTGATTGGTCCAGCTTGATGCCAAAACAGAAGCCGGAGCCTCGAGCGGCGGGGGCGGCTCTGCTCCGCTTTACCCCAGGCGCTGTCCTGTTGAGGGCGGGCATTTCCAAGCGCCTCGCTGGCCCTGAACTTTTAGAACAAGTCAAAGAGGTGTGCAAGTCAGAGCTGGATGATCCCAAAGGTGTGTTTGGACCATTGGTGTTGTTTTTGACAGCCATCTTAGATTTAGTCTTTATTTTAGTCGCTGAAAACTTATTTTTAGTCATACCATTACAATATGTGATATTTTTAGTCAGTTTTAGTCCACTAAAACTCAAAAAGGTTTTAGTCTAGTCAGATTTATGTTGCACTGCATGAAACAGACTTTACAATTATAACCTTTAATTTGAATAACGACCAGATTCTTTACCAGACTGAGAGCTTTTGCCTTGGTACAGTTGCTGGGTATAGAATGCTGCTGTGCAGAAACTTTGATTTATAGAATTCAAGCAAACTTTTTTTTTAATGAATTAATGCCCTACTTATAAAAAAAAATCTCTCACAAGAGTTGTGAAAATAGCAGATCTTGTTCAGCACATAATATTGGTTAATATAGCAGTCAGACAAGCAAAGAAAATGTACAATAAAGAAAGGGTTTTAGACGTACAAAGAATCCATCCCAAAGCAAACACTTCCTCATCTATTACTAATTATGCATTAAACACAAATCAATCAATCTACATTGCTCCAAAAAGCAAAAAAAAAAAAAAAAACTTCTTTATACTTTTGGTAATTTTGGCTTTATTTCTAAGAATTCACCCCTTAATTACTGCTGCTCAGGGATCATAGTAGATTTATATTCCCTGGCGTCTGGTATTAAAAAATTACACAGTGAACCTACATAATTGCCTTGTAACCTAATTTTAAAGCTAGTTTTAAATTGAATTTGGTTTGGTAATAACTTTAAAGGGTTTAAGTAGAAACTTGAGTGACCAAAAAGTCGATTGTTGATGTGGTCTCCTAGTTTCGTTACCTATTTGTCAAAAAAAAGAAAGTGGTAGAAGGGGGAACTTTACCTAGATCATAAGTATGGTGGTGGAGGGTTCATGATTAGGGCTGTCTTTTTACCCACATCACCCAGATTATACCTCACAGAAATAACCTCAACCATGAGCAGTGACAGTTTATCTCAAACTAACTCAGATTGGTTAATGTTAACAAAAAGAACCAAACACTAATGTCTTGGAAGGGATGAAGCACAGCGGTTGAGTGTTGTGAATATGGGCTAGCTTATCCACAGGACCTGGATATCAACACTAATACCTCCATGTTTTTGTCCCTGATTTGACATCATATTGTTGTAATTCTCCTGTCAGATGCTGACAAGCTGTTTGAGCATGACCTTGGAGCCCTAAATATGGCTGCCCTGAATAGGCGAGTGGAGAGGGCCGGTCTACTTAGCAACCTCGGACCCTGCTGCAAGGCCCTCTGTGCTCGGAGGGACTTCGCCATCCGTCGGCAGCTGTTAAAGAACGAAAAAGTGACTAAATACCCATCGACACAATTTTTACTGCTGTAAACCTTTAGGAAATATAAAATATACATGTTTTCTTTTAATAGGGTCAAACCAAGCAGTACCCCACTCCACCTGTAGTAGACCAGGAGCTGCTCCAGATGAGCATCCGTCTGTTCAGAAGGACCATGGCCAGTCAGACCTCCGCCCCAGAGAGGGTAGAGAGCGGCTCGGCACCCGCAGCCGAAGCTGCAGAAACTGATAGCAGCAAGCTGAGCACAGCACAAGAGGTGTGCGTGTCCTGAAAGTAAGACACGTTAGAGTCGTCATCACATCGTTCTCCATCACTGTTCCTTCAATGAACGCTTCTTTTTTTTTTTTTGTAATGATGGAGTAAAACTAACTTGGCAAGATGTTTAGTTCTTAGTTAAGCTTGGAGAGAATAAACCATGAGATTTGGACCATGTTGAAAGATAATAAACATTTACCTGCTGACCATTTGAGCCCATGGAAATGTACCCGGTGTAAGAAACATCTAATTCATGTTTTTTTGTGCATTTAAAAAAAAAAAAAAAAAAAGATTTTTAATTTACAGAGCTCCAAAAAAAGTACAGTTTGTTTTTTTGCTGTTGTGTGCATTGGTCGCTATAAAAGTACATTAAAATGGTTAGAGCTGGTTATTTTTCTTCCAGTTTATCTGCTTTGTGGAAAAACAACTGTTCAGCCTTGAATATAATGGAACATTTCATGTATTTTCTTCCCTCTATTCATACCTATCAAAGGAGCAAACATGTTTACCAACAAACAAACTTCAGTTCATCCTGCAGAGACTTGAATGAACTTTTAAAAAGCACTGCCAAACTATTCCTCAGTAGCCTGCTGTTAGTCTGTATAAACAGTATATGTGTTTGATGTTTTGCTACGAATGGCTTGGCAGTGACTTCCTGACTTGAACTGAAGAGATTGCACAGCAGACAAAAACATTTGCTGAGGTGTTCCTGTGCGACCTAAAGGAAAGGTCAAATATTCCCCATAGGAAAGAGAACATGCTGCCTAGAGTAGTGAAGGAGGATGTAAAGCTTGCAGACTGTCCATTTTGTCCCTGGTGGGACGCCGTATCAGCAGAAGAGGCCTTTGTTCCAGGAGTTTGATACCGAACTCGATGAAGACACAGACTCCTGGTTCTGCTGAGGGTGGGCTCCCTGGTATTAGAAACTCACTCATCAATGCTAGGAAACACATTTTTCTGTGCAAAGTCAAATGTACTAGTAATGACATATGGTATGGTGCTGGTTTATTTTTTCTAATGTAAAATAAATGTAGAATAACATCCTTACTCTGTGGTTAAATTGGGAGCAGGAGGCTCCACATGAATGGTTCGTTAGCAGGTAAACCTGAAGACATGCAGAGGAGGTCGCATTGATCAGGGCTGTTGGATAAAAGATGGCGTCTGAAGGTTCTAGGTAGGTGGTTCTGAGGACAGTTGGATACCACTAAATGCTCTGAGCTCCCTTCAGTTCTTCTCTATGACCTTGTTTCCTTGCAGTTGTTCCTTTTTATTCAATCAGTGTGCCCAACCTTTTATCTGATTCCTTTTATTTCCTTTCTTGTGTCCCTTTCTATCTGTCCTCCTTTGTGGTTTGCCCTCTTTTTTTTCTTCATTTTTTAGTCTTTTTACTCCTCTTAACCCTTTCTTATCCTTTCCGTCCTTGTTTCCTTTGTGTTATTTCCTTCTTTCCTTATCTATCCTCTTTGTTGGTCAACCCCTCTTCCCTTCTCACCACCTAACTTGTATCCTTTTAGTGTTTTTTTTTTGTCTTGTTTTTTGGCCTTCCTTGTCTCCCACCTTTCCAACATTCCTTCTGTCTCTATGAGTTTTCTTCTCTCCTCTTGTAATTCTTTAGTACTTTCTTATATTTAAGCTTATTTTCTTTCAGTCTTGAACTCTTCCCCTGCCTTTTTTCTTGTGATTTCCCATTTCTGCCTCTTAGGTTTCACCACATTACTTGCCTTCATAAGTCCACCCTTCTTCCAGTCTTGTGTCCATCGGTCTTTTCTTCCTTGAGTCCTTTCTTTGCCTCCTACCTACATATTTAATGTGTTCTTATGCCATTTCTTTTTTTTTTTTTATCACAATATGTCCTATCCTTCCTGCTGCCTGTAGTCTATTTTAAATCCACAGTAAACTTTGTCATTAAATCGTAACCTCCAGCTGAAAGAACTCTAGGAAGTTAAATGAACCAGTGTTGAGTTTTTATATGCATATGTTTAAAAACTGAAATTAAGGTGTTGATTTTTAAGGAACAAATTAGTCATTTTCACTGAGAGTTCTCTAGCACTGATTAAGTATAAATTGCATATTTAAAAATGTAGTTAGGTTTTTACTGCATCACTCACAGTTAAACTGTTTGGAGGGATAACTTAACAAGTTAGAATTTTTAGTTAACTTTCTGTTGAATGTAGAAATTAAGGATTTTGTTTTCACATTAAGATTTTCAAGAAGACTTGAAATAATTGTATTATACTAAAGTAGCATATAAAAAAAATCAAACTCTTATTGCATTTTTCTCATTTAGAAAAACAAAACTTATTCCATCTGTTGCAAACTTTAGTTTTTTTTTAGATTATGGCTCTGTAATAACCTGTTTACATTAGGGTTAGATAAAGCTCCTCTTTATTCAGGTATTTGGACAATGCTTATGACTTTAAAGAAACACACAAGAAATCACAGATTTAATGAATAAAATATTACCAAAATCTTAGCAAGCAAAATATAAATAAAAAAACAACATTAAAAGAGGATGTACATCAAAGTGTCATTGTTTGAGTTGTAATATGAATAGTTTCAATAAAACAACATTAAAATAGGACAGACATGCTTCTCTGTTACTTTAAAATATCAACAAAAGGTAAACTTCTCTTTAATTTTAGTTAACAAAATTAACCTTTTTTTAATGTTTTGTTAATTTAGGGTTAGTTAGTTAGGGTAAATTTATTTAGATAGGCGGATTGGTGCAGCGTCTGTTGTGAGGCATGCCCTGTACCGATCTATTGTGGTGAAGAGAGCTGAGCTAAAAACAAAGCTCTTGATTTACCGGTCGATCTACGTTCCTACCCTCATCTATGGTCATGAGCTTTGGGTCATGACCGAAAGAACGACATCCCGGATACAAGCGGCGGAAATGAGTTTTCTCCGTAGCGTGTCTGGGCTCTCCCTTAGAGATAGGGTGAGGAGCTCAGTCATCCATTGAGGTCTCAGAGTAGAGCCGCTGCCCCTTCACATTGAGAGGAGCCAGTTGAGGTGGTTTGGGCATCTGGTTAGGATGCCTCCTGGAAGCCTCCCCAGGGAGGTGCTCCAGGCACGTCCCACCGGTAGGAGGCCCAGGGGGAGACCCAGGACACGCTGGAGGGACTGTTTCTCGGCTGGCCTAGGAGTGCCTTGGGATTCCCCCGGATGAGCTGGCCCAAGTGGCTGGGGAGAGGGACGTCTGGGCCTCCCTACTGAAGCTGCTACCCCCGCGACCCGACACCGGATAAGCGGAAGAAGATGGATGGACGGATGCTAATTAATTTAAAAGGCTGCAAGAAGTTTCTGGGTTTGATTCCAGGCCCGGGATCTTTCCCACAGTCCAAAAACATGACTGTGAGGTTAACTGTTTTCTCCTCAAGTTTTAGTGTTTGTGAATGGTTGTTTGTCCTGTTTGTCTGTGTTTTGTCCTGTGATGGACTGGCGACCTGTCAAGGGTGGACACCGCCTTTCGCCCGTAGACAGCTCACCTCACCTCACGACCCCACTTGGGATAAGCGTGACAGAAAATGGATGGCTGGATGGATAATTAATTAGTTAATTTATTTAATTTCTCTTTCTGTTTATTTGCCAATCAATTCAAAAATAAAGTTTTATTTCGATGCGAAAAGAACAATAAAACTCAACATTTACAAGAAAATTTTAATAATGTGATCAAATAGCTATTAACATCACATAATACACTTTCTCTGAAATGGAATTGTATTTTTTTATACAAAAAAAATGGCAGAACTCTAAAAATGACAACCACATACCCCTCGAGTATCCCAACTTTTATATCAGGATTTAGTCAAATAGATTTGAATTAATTGCTGTGCTTTTTTCTGAAATAGTCATTTTAGTTTTTTATGTAAACCGGTGAACAGCTTTTTTAAAATTATTTTTTAAAAAGGCAAATATTTTGAAATTACTTTGACTAAAAGCTAAAGAAATAACACGATTAAATACTTTTGGTATTCTTAATTTTTAAATAATTTTAGTGTCCAGATATAAATCTAAACTGTGTGCTGCTGCAGTTCTACCGCAATGCTCCGGTCATTATTATTGAGGCCCAGTTCTAAAAGCTAGATTTTTGCCTATAAGCTATCCATCTTTATAAACCGGTTTTTTGTAATAATGCAGATTTTTTTTTTTTTCAAAAAGTTAAAAATTCAGTAATTTGTTCTATCTTAACCACAAACGCGGAACAAACAATAGTCTTTTGTTGCAAGACGTTATTTTTTCAAACGGACCGATTTCCTTTAAGCGGACCGCCCTCCTTTTGGTCCGTCCTTCCGACTTCCGCCTCAGCTACGAGCCGAGGTGAGTACCTTTCTCGGGTTGAAAATTTTCTGTAATCCATTGCCATCCTGCCTTTATAAAACCTAAAATAAACGATTTTGTGCTACTGCCGTGTTTATAAGTTTGATATCGCGCCTAGCGTTGTATTTTTAAGATGATTAAACGTTGGTTTTGGTAGTTAAACCGATATGGTGTAGCAGCGGCTCGGAGATGTAGCATAAACTAGCATGGCTAATCTGAACCTGGAACGGTTTTTGTAATTTAATTGGTTATTTTAGGGGAAAACTAATACACGTATGTAGACATTATTTGTTTTATCATGTAAGTTTAGTTTATAACCATGTCTTGCAAATAGGGTTGACTTTAGCACGTTGCAATCGAATGTGGGTTTAACTGAGATAAGCTCCTCTACCAAATGGTCAAACTTCTTCAATGCGTTTGTATGTTTCTCAGATGGCCCCAACCAAGAAAGGAGAGAAAAAGAAGGGGCGTTCAGCCATCAACGAGGTGGTGACCAGAGAGTACACCATCAACATCCATAAACGCATCCATGGAATGTGAGTTCTGACTACAGCCGCAGGAGCAAAACGTGTTTTAAATACATTGGAAAGGAAACTGCTCATTCCAGATTCTTTCAGCGTGATGATGAATTCAGTATTAATAAAGCTGCAAATGTGGGTTTATAACTGAATATCGCTAAGGTTTTTCTTTTTGCTATAGCTGTTATTTCTTGATCAGATTTGGATATATTTGCACTACACTTGTATCTTTTCTAAATGTTTTGATTTCCACGTGCTTTTTTTTTTTTACATGTAAGCTTGGATCAAAGTCAACTTATGAATTTCAGTCCTCAACAACAAAAAGAGTAATTTACTGTTAACGTTTACAATATTATAAGGCCAACCCTTGCTCTGGAACTACACTTTATTTTTAATTAAATACTAATTAAAATGTTGGTATAATCACTGCAACCCAATTTACCTTCATATAGTGCTGGGTAAAGTCCAATGGCTTGGAATCCTTTTTAAAAGTTAAACTTATGTAGAGAACCTAATGACATTTATAACACAATGTGTTATATTAATAATACTTTTTACTGTTTTCGTCCATTTCTGCTCTGTTATTAATGTTGCATGATCTAGTCCAGGCTTACAGAGTTTATGTTAAAATATTTAAATGTTTACATCATAGGTGGGTTTATGACCCCAGACATTGAAAGATTTTTTGCTAGATGTCTTAAGACCTGAGGCTTATATTTGGTGTTTCACGCAAAGCTTTACAGGTGCTTCCACAAATTTCTGCAATTTAAATAGAGAAATAAAACTACTGCTAAGTTTTTGAGCTAAGGCTTTTGTTTGGTCCTTTGTTTCAATTGAGTCAAGTGGTTTCATGTAGTTGAGAAGTTTATGCTCTGTTGTCTTTAATGTTTTATTTGAATGTCCTCTGTAGTGGCTTCAAAAAGAGAGCCCCCCGTGCGATCAAGGAGATCCGCAAGTTTGCCATGAAGGAGATGGGAACTCCTGATGTTCGCATTGACACTCGCCTCAACAAGGCAGTGTGGAGCAAAGGGATCAGGTGAGCCTGCATGTTTCATTTGAGACCGACATAGTTAGCTTGTTTCACTCTACCAGGACTGCATAATATATGGCATAACCTGCACGTCAGTGTAGCAGGCTGTGGTGCCTAAAATGGTCTTTGGAATTAGGCCAATACGTCCATGTCTTATAAGCGTATTGGCCCTTTGATTGAAATGGTTTGTGTAGTGGATATTCTTAAGCTACATTTGTTCAAATTTTGCCTGTGGACATAGAGCAACCTTCGCAGGCAGCTGTGGTGGGAAAGTTTCCCAAATGGCTGGTCTTTCGAAACCCAGGATTCAGTCTTTTTGTATTGTAAAAAATCTGTTATGAATATATTGAGTAGCTCAGGCCCAAAAAAACAATGTATGTAACACTGTGCATCAAGTGCAGAGCATCAGACTGGTCTCCTTTTTTTAATTAACACCAAAAGTTTGACTGCATCTTTATACGTCCAATGTGTGCATAGCAACACATCGAGTCACATTTTTGACTTTGTGATTCCAATAACTGAATTTCCCTCTCTACAGATTCCAATATTTTTTCTGATATATGAGCTCTGATTGTGTTAGTGTTGCAGGTGTAGGAATGAATGAGTGTTGTAAGATTTTAACACAACCTAATGGGCTCCATGCACAGCTCCACTACTTCCTGAATTTAAGGCAGCTCCTTTGTTTCCTGTCTTTCATTACTGGACGAACTGATTAATCCAGGTGTGTCTAGCCAGTTACTTAGGTCATACACACCTGGATTAATCAGTGACTCCAATCATGAAAGACAGGAAACAAAGGAGCTGCCTTAAATTCAGGAAGTAGTGGAGCTGTGCATAGAGCCTATTGTGTTCTAGAAATAGACTGAGCAGGTCTTTAGATTTGGCACATTTTCCCTTTTTCCTCATCTGAAATGTTCAATATCAGGACTAGTGCTGATATTATCAGATCTGTTGATGCCTTGTATAAAGCTTTTCATTATGATTTTGTTGCTCATTCATAGTTGGTCACATTGGCTGCCCTCCACCCACTAATCAGAGCTGGTTATTTGTGCTCCAACAGCCCTAAATATAACCTCATGTTTAAAACGGCTTGAGTTGATTTTCTTAAATCTGGTGTATTTTGCAGGAACGTGCCGTACAGGATGCGCGTCCGACTGTCCAGGAAGCGTAACGAGGATGAGGACTCTCCCAACAAACTGTACACCCTGGTCACATACGTTCCTGTCACCACGTGCAAAGGTAAATATGCAGCCCGGTGGTTCTGCATCATCCAAACAAGCTTAAAGAAAAAAGATCACTTATAATTGATTCCTTCTCCTTTTTCCTCCCAACAGGTCTGCAGACTGTCAATGTCGATGAAAACTAAATTTGTGGAATAAATAAAAAAAAATGAAAATCTCTTGTCTCGATTGTCTTTTTTTGTTTAGTATGTTGTGGAAATGTTTTATGAACCAATTCTAACAGACAGGAGGACATTTTGACAAACATCTAAATAAGATTAATTTGACAATAATTATAAAGCATTAAAGCTACAGTGTGTAATAATTACAGGGATATAAAGTCAGAAATAGAATATATTATACATAACTATTTTATTTATCATCACCTATGAGCTCAGCCTTTTAACCATATTTGCGTTGCCTTAGAATTCGTTATTTATAATTACATAGGAGCGGGTCTCGCCATAGATATCCATTTATTATGGATATCTATGGGTCTCGCAGCCATGGAGGCAGACATCTTTGCGCTACGGCAGCGCAGAAGCAACAAACTAGCGATTGCGAGATCGCCCATTACGATCGAAAGTAACTACGGCAAGTTGAGAGAGATGAACTGAGACGGTACTGAACAATAGATGGCAGTATTATGCCTGAGAAGCGTTTAGTCTGCCTGAAACCAAAGAAGAAGAAGCAAGGCGGCAGGCGTGAGTGACTTTGCTAACTGTTTGGCCAAACATTAGGCGAATGGAGGATCATGCCTACTCTGTATCACAACGAAAAGAAGCGGACACCGAACCCCCGTCATGTAAGAAGCGGAAACACGACGAGAATAAACGCAAGCGTGACAAGAAACGGCAAAAAACACGGATCAACATTGGCACGGCATTTACACGATGGAAGTCACTGATGGAGGAAAAAGGTTTTCAAAGTGACGCTCAAGTTGCCAGTTTTCTGTTGGACAGGTAAGGCCACAGCTTCATAAAATTACCACAGCTGATAGTGGCGTGTGTGAGTGTGAGAGAGACAGATATATGAAGCTGCATATTAGCGAGCTACGGATATATACCTCGGTTACTTCTCTCCGGCTCCTTTGGAGATCTTCAAGCCTTTTCTCCTCTGCTCTAGTCAACCCCCGCTGGCACCTCTCTCTCGCCTGGCCCTGGCTGCACTCCCACCCCGGCCTCTCTGCCCTCTTCCTCGCCTTGTAACCCCCGTGCCACAAACAAGACTTGGACTCTGTAAACGGAGAATATATATTCTTCCAGCGAACACAATCTCGCTGTCAAACTAATGATTACAATTACTTCGTCTGTTTATATCACCATGCAAAGCAGCTCACCAAAACGTCACAACGATGTAGAAAAAATAACGGGTATATTTATTATTATCAAATCTATACCCTACACAGACTAATGAAATACTATCTGTAAAATTATCTATGTAAACAAACCTCATTACTTGAGAAGGTAGGTGATGCGGACGTCGTGGAAGACATTTTATCCCGTAACGCTCGCCGTACTGTTGGGGGGGAGAAGCGGTGGGGGGGAGATGTTCATGTTGCTGCAGTCTGGACGTTAGATGTCGCTGAAAATTACACACTGTAGCTTTAAGCCCAAGTTTACAAAACTCATTTGTTCCCATGATCTATATGGTGAAAAATTACAGGTGTTTCTTTTTAAAGTGTCCTAAAATTCTGAATAAGAATTGGAATGATGAAGCTATAGATAAATCTATCCAGAAGTGTTAGATCTATAAGGAAACTAGGTTATAAAATTAAGAAATATTAAAGCAAATATCAGAACTTTAGGGTATTTTAAGTCTACCTTTTTAGTGACGTTAAAAAAAATGTTCATCATAGGAAATGGTTGAAGTGTTTTGAGTAATGCATCTCGGAGCATCAGAAAGGTATTGGTTTAAAATGCAAGTTTGTTTATTTCAGTACTTGCAGTTGTATGCAAAAAAAAAAAAAATAGGGCCTAAAATTTAATTCTTGCAGATTACTTCAATGTTTATTCAGCTCTCATGTCAAATAAGAAAAGATCTTTAACTGAATAAAAGTATTTATGTTCAGACTTCAGTGTATGTTTCAGGCTCAAGATCATTGCGAAGCATTAATAAACAAGGTTGTGAAGTTTGAAGAAGGGTTAAGTGAAACATTAGCGTTGAAATGATTGCGCAGTCCGACTTCTTGCCTGTGGGTCACACCTGGAGCCAAATAGGAGAGGCATAGGATATTTTCACAGGATTTCTATGGGGCAGTAAATTGAATGAACTCAAAGGCAATTGAAAAAGTTGTGAACAGAATTTGACTTGGTGGTAAATTTTTCTCCACCCCTTCAATATATTCTGACTTTTCTGTCCATCTTGTTACATATTTAATCTATAAAAAGTATGGCTATTCAGCAAGACCAAATTTTATGTTTATAGACTATTATTTCTATGCACAATGCTGTGGTGAAAGTCCCTAATATGTTGAAACAAGTCATTTTGAGCCTCACTAGAAGAAAATTAGTATTTCATAAATACCAGTTGAGGTGAAATGTTTTGAAGAAACCAAATACCTTGAAACTATTTTAATCTCACTCAGATTATTAGATTAAATAGAGATGGTATTTACCTATTTTAGTTCTGGTATATTCTGCAAATTGAGCTTGAGACCATTAACATTCTTATATTCAAATAGTATTTAGTATTGATTTATTTGATCAGTTCTATAAAAACTATGCGTTGCAGTTGAGAACCTGCTGTACAGCAACATTAAAAGGTTCTGATTTAATCCAAGAACAACCTCTCAAGATGATGCAGCATCTAGCCACACCCACTGTCTGCACCTAATATTTGAGTTGTTCCTTATTAAGTTAAGCTTAATACACCATTAATTCAAGACTAATCTAAAGAGTGAACAAGAACATACCACTCTACCTCAGCACATTAAAGTTAGCAGAGTTTCTCCATATTAATGTTTGACGTAAACAGTTTAGTGACTTATTTTTATCATTGGAGTTTATGGTGTGCTTGATGACCTGTCATTCAAAGACTGGTTTATGCAGGTCAGAGAGAATTATGAAAAGGATTTTTTTTTTTTTTTGCCAAGTGTGCAGAGAGTTTATAAATAAACACCTTTCTGTGATCAAATAATTGCTGTCACACCTCCGCATCAAACCAGTCTTACCAGTAACAGATAACAGACATGTCTGACATGGTTCTCAAATGAACAAAATCCAAAACATGTTCACTGATTCTGACATGGGCAAAAGAAGAGAATGCATGAAGAGGTCTCACTCAAAACATGCTTGATTTTGTACTGGTTGTAAAAAATATTGTAGAGGTAGTTAAAGGTAGTTGTAGTAGTGATTGTTTGCCAAGCCAAACATCCAATTAAAGTTCCTTTAAGGCACTACTAAGGCACTCAAGGAAAAAGAAGGTTCAATGTCCAGCCTTGATGATGGTTCTGGGTGGTTTATTTTCTATTTCAGCCAACAATGAAAGAGTTCAAACTTTTTCTTTGTCCTACCTCTCTTGGTCTGGTAAAAGATTATAGACCCCAAACCCAAAATGCCTGCTGGTCCTTTCCCAGGCCCCTACACTTATAGAAAGTGGACTGATCCACATCACTTCTTGATTAGTATAGAATCAACAAATATTAACCTGCTAATAAACTCTCTAAAAATACAAAAAATATCAAATGTAGGAATTAATAATTAATTAAATTAATAATTCAAATGGACAAAGAAATAAAGATTAAATAGCTCCAACAGTAGTAAACTCAATACTGGGGTTGCTTTATTAACCCTGTTTAATAGGTAACATTGACTAGAACTTATAAATGTGAGTTAAGTCAAACCAGAGCACATTGTTCTTTGTAAATTAAATTAAAAGTTTATTTTAAATGGCATCAAACAGTCATTTTTAAGGACCTGATTCCCAGAATAACACTTTGAAACTCTTTTTCCATTCCAATCTAACGATAGATAAAGGTCTCAAAAACAAGTTTATGGAAAATCCATACTATTAACTGAAGTAAATTGTTAAGAATTGTATTTGTTGCTCTAATTTTGTATAAGAAACATTTTCTTTGTTTGTTTCTATACATTTTGTCACTTTTACTGCAGGGCACTGACTTCTAACCTAAATTGACAAGACAGGCTGAAGGAACTTGATTGTTAATATTTTTAAAGCCTTTTGTCCACTATTCACATCTCTTCCAGTTCATGTTATGGTTTATTTCCGCACAGATCATGGCAGGAATTCCCCCCATGAAAGCCTGAATAGATCTGGAACAGGGAAAAACTTCCAAAGCAGTTTTAGAAAGTATTCAGAGAGAAGGAAATGATAGAAAAGATTTAGTATTAGAAATCCAACAGAGTCTATATAGATTATATGGGGGTGGCATGTTGGGTGTAAAAGGCAATGAAAAGGCAGATAAATTAGCAAAAAGGGCTTTAGAGGGAACAATAACCATTACAATTCCTTTTGGGAAAGGGAAAAGTAAATAACTTGTTTAGAGTAAAGAAATGGAAAAATGCCAAAAGAGGTGGAATGAAGATAAGAAAGGAAGAGAATTATATAAGGTACAGAAATCATTATTAAATGCAATAATTACTAATAGAAACAGAAGGGAAGAAATAATAATGTAAATGACAATTTATATTTAATAGGGAGGAAAAATTGTGATAAAAGTGAAGGAACATAAAAGGGAGAAATTAAGAATGTTGGTTGACAGGCAAATAATGGAATCTTAAAGAAATATTGGGAAATGAAGGAAATATAAAAGATATTCACAGATTAAGGAAAGCATTATTTATTTATCTACAGAATACAGAATCAAAAAATATATAATTTGATGTAAGGCAATGTTGCTACACACTGATGTACAGTAGGTGGCGGTATGCACCTTAAATCCGCCATAATAGAAAAAGAAGAAGAACAGGGAAAAACTAAAACATGCAGTGACGCGGTGGTATCGCTAGGGGGAGGTGTTCAGTTGTTTGCAGGAGGATGTTGTGGACGCAGCTCCTGTAGCGCTGACAACCGCTTAGTCCTGATTCCATGTAGCTGTGAATCAATTCAATTTAACGGTAAGCGGAATTGCATAGATGGCTCTCTGATTTTTGGGTTATTTATAAATCTTAAAATGATAAATTAAAGCCTCTTAACCGTCGGGGACAGGCAGGCGTGGTTTGCTAACTGACCCAGCTAGCCAGTAGAGAACATTTAAATGAACTACTCTGTCTGCTGTATAGTGATTCATCCCATCGAAACCTCCTTATATACATATAACATGGGTAATTATATGTGTTATTTCTGTGGCTGCATAGAAACATCGGAGCAGGTGCGGGTTTTCGCCTTCCATGGCCGCGGGCTAATGTGGGCATCATGCGGCACCAATGGCTGCTCCTCGGGGCTTGTGGCTGGGTCCTCCTCGTCCTCATGTTCGTCAGTAAATTCATCAGTTTAAAAACGGATGAAGGTGAGCTACTTTCTCCTCTCTCTGTTACTCCTAAGTACTTTCCCTTTTGAGCACTTTAGGTCAGGGGTCAGCAACCCAAACTGCTCAAGTGAAACCGTTGAACATATGTTTCACCTCTGTCCTACTACACAAAGCTTCTGGAAAGAGTTGAAAGATGGCCGTTGAATTCTTTAAAAATTAATGATGTCCCACCATTTGCACTAAATGATGTCATTTTTTATATGGACCATCTTCCCCAGACTGTTTCTTATACTATTAATGTCCTCCTGCTGTTGGGTAAATATCATATCCATTGTGCTGAATGGAGAAATTCTAAACCTTCCTTTCACTGGTTTATCAATGACTTTAAAACATATTTTTCTTCTCTTAAAAAGATTTTTTTTAAAGACAAACATGCCAAAAAATTGAGACTTGATTTCTCCAAACATCTGCTATTTTAAGTGCATTCGCCTCTTTGTTTTTATTATTTCTATGGCTCTGTCTATGTTTGATTTTAAATGTTTGCTATGATAAATCCCCTGTTAGTTGTCGTAACTTTTTTGTTTTTCTTTTATTGTAATTGATCTTTATCTGTTCATGTACACCTTTGCTATCCTCTCTGAGAGTATTTTTTCATGTAAATGTTTTTGACTTAATTAAAAACTAATAAATAAAATAAATCTGTCTGGAGCCACAAAAATGTAAAAGTCTTATATGTGCCAGCTATGTCAAAACGGGCTCTAAGTGTATTAGACCACTATAGAAAATAACTATGTGGGCTTAAATATATAATAAGCGTTCATGATTAAATGTTTATCCTGGAGTAAATGTCACATAGCAGCATGAGGTGAGGGACGAGCAGTGAGCGCCCTCACCACGCGCTGCTTAACTGCCCTTTAAGTTTTGTTGCATTGATGAAATGATAGAAACACGATAAAGGAATCTTTCCATGGTGGACGTGTTTCTGTTGGGAGGAGCTGATTGAGTCATCAGGAACTGACATCCATCAGAGCTGTACTCTCCAACCCTTGAAAGCCTACATCCTCCGTCACCATTGCTCCTTGGTGTGGTTTATATTTTGAGGATCTGGGGGAAAAAATGGAAGAAAGTTCACATACCTACCTGCATCAGAGCACTACCTTTTTGATCTGTGGACGGTTTTCTATGCTTGCAACAAAACTAGCAGCAGTAGGGGAGTTTGGAGATGCAATCCGCTTCTTAAATCTATCTTGGCACTCCTCTAATTTATCCAGAAGTTCTGCAATCTCACTTTTTCTCTCACTCCCAACTTGGTGGTGGGCTGCATATTTAACTTGCTTTCCCTGGAAATCCCTTTCCAGATTTTTCTTTTTATTTATTTAACAACCTGTCATTGCAAAACAAAAAATGCAGGCAATCCTTCCGCATTGATAATGAAAGCAAATGATTTGCTCCATTCTTTGAATCCTCTTTTCTCATCAGCCATCTTCCTTTTTTTTCCCTCTGGGATCCATGGTCCAAGACACACCCACCGCTTTGTTTGCCTGGCACCACGCTGCAACCACTGATCACTATGGCTATGATGCAAATTATTATTTACATTTATTTATCATACAAATGTTTAAATCATTGGAAAGCATAATCCATTTTTATTTGACCTCCTGCACATCATATTAAAACAAACAGGTGAGGGCCAATGCCTCTTGGAAATTTTTTGAAATGTTTTGATATTAAATTGCATCAAAATCTGTGAGTAGATTTACCTCTTTTTCTCTCCAACTCGGCTTGCATTAAAGCAAATTTGAGGAGGAGATTCCTTCTGAAAAGATAAAATATTTAATCACCCTCTCCTGATGGAGATATGTTTAGAGTTTTTGTGCTCAATAGGTTGTTCCTGGAAAAAGGACATGCCATTTCCAGCACTTCCTTCTGCAGATCTCAGCTTAATAGGAAATATTCTGGATTAGTCCAAACAACCCTGCTACTGAGCGCTTTTTTAGAAAAATGATTTGTTATAATTTTAATTTGGGTAATGGCTTTCTGAAATGGAAAATGAAAACAGATATGCAGGAATTTATGCCAGAAATTACTCTGGATTACCACTAATCCTGCTTTGCAAAATATATTTTTGTTGTTGATTTAAGTATTTTCTTTGTAAATATGTTGCTCCTTAAGATCCATCTACATGGAGACAACAACAGTATCTTTTGAAAAAGGGATTTGGATAAAAAATGTTAGTGCAGGCAGCGTCACTGAAAAAACAGCAGCATGTATGCGTAACCCATTAGTGGTGCTCTGACTTGCTCCGTTTGAATACAGCAAAACAGTGAGGTCTCTGAAGCCAATGTGGAAGTGTGATCGGCTCGCCATAAAACGCACTGTCCAAATAGTGCTGAAAATGAAGCAGGGTGCTTCCTTCCGTGGTTCATTTAGCATAGGGACATCCTGATCAGGTGCTTTGGTCATATAAAAAACATGGTGCAAAAATAAGGCATTGATATGGGATTATTTTTTTTCTCACTCACTGTTTACATTTGATCACTGCTGCACTTTAACAAATGGAAATGTCATAAGAGCTGTACGCAACAAAATTTCAGCAACAGAATTGAACAAAAACATAATCTGTACTTTTGTGTGATGCATTAAAATGTATATATTTATGTTTTTATTTTTCAGCAGGGAGAGTATAAGCCTTTGACATTTTTGTAGCTTTTGTTTTAGTTTTTTTTTTTTGTTTGAAGTTCATTTTTCAGAAAGCTGTAGTCCTCCTAATTTGACAAGCATGATATATAACAAGCTTCATCAGTTCTGGTCCTCTTGGGCTGGTCACTTGCACCTTTAAGACACTTCTCTGCTTTGATACACCCGATTCAAATAATCCGTGACATTAAAAGGACTCTGGAGAAACTTGATCAAATGCTGAGGAGGCACTACAGCCATTTGATTAAGATGTAGAAGCAGAGATACGCCTAAAATGGTGAGGACAGCCGACCTTGAGGGCTGGAATTGAGAAAGCCTGATATAAGGGCTAAGATAACTGTTCATGAAAACGTATCTTTATTTGTTTACATTTTTTTAAATGTAAGTCAATATACAAAAACATACATGCATGTGAAATCAGATGTTTCATCTGTAATAGGCCTAGTACAGATGTCACAAATTTATAAGTATGGATTGTCGACCCTTGGTGAAGCTGTTCTGAACAGATAGTGGAACCTTATATTCAATGTATATTTGTCTTATAAAAAATAAAATGTGAGGGAATCAGGGCTAAGACCAGGAAGTAAGAGCTACTACTGATCTGAAGTAAATGCAGAAACAACATGCATGTGGGTTACAGTCCTTTCACCGTGACAAAAAATGTATTTTTAATCTGTCAAAACACCTGATGTGATGCTATGCCTTAGCGTTAAGCTAGCTTTGCAAATACACCCAGCTGCTCACACACTAGAGTCGACCTAAAGGGGATTGCTTTGTATTTTTTAAAGGTAAGCCAAGGATTTAGAAAGAAGTAACATTCTGACATAGTGTAATGGGGACTTGGAGTCCAGTTACCCCATGAAATATGTTTGATTTTGTGTTCTGTTGTATTAAGTTGGAACAAATAGTTGGGTTGTTAGGGTTCTTTATTGTAGTTTTGTTTGGACATTTGAAAATGCATTCTTGTAAAGCAGAAGGACCGGTCATCCTGCCTGTGGAAAGAAAGTGTAAATATAAATGTCAATTATTTTTCCTTAGTTTCTGTTTATGTATATGTTACTTTTCCTGGTTTGGCTCATAAGGCAGAATGTGGCAGAAAAGGTGAGAAGTGCTCCAGGTGCAGCAAACAGAAATAATCAGGAGGGTAGTTTATGATGGGTTCTGTTAAATTTGATGGGGTTTTTGTGATTGACTTTAGATTAGTTTAATTGTTATGGGTTGCATTTATGCAAATATTAGTTTGGTTGTATAGTTTGTTTTGGTTTAGGTTTTTATGTGTATTAATTTTGTTTCTTTTTCTTCATAATCCCTTTTCATTGTTCCTTCCTTCATGTCACCTGAATTGAACTGGGTGTGTTTGTTCTTTTTAATGTTAGAGGGTGTAAGTGAGCTGAAATTCATTTTTTTATTGGCTCTCGATTAAATATCCGGTCAAGCTGACACATAGGATCAGGTTGATTTTAGATGGGTTTTTTTTCTTAGTCAAGAAATTTACACTTTTAATGGCTTGCTTTTTTTGTTTCACCTAGATTATGTCATTTGTGTTAAAACAAAATTCTCAAATGTTTAACTGTGTATTCTATGTTTTTCTCAGGTTACAGACAGACGCCTTCCCAAAGTTGGACAGTTGGAGATGCAAAGGTGGTGAAACCAGCTTCTGTGCAGAGCCCAGTTAAACAAACTCAACCCCCGTCTCATCAGGTGACTAATTTAATCATTGTCAATTCCCTTACAAGTTCTATCCCTATATAACGAGGAATCATGAGGCATTAGTTTTCCTGGTCTCTTTTGTCTCAGCCCTCCGAGTCACCTACGGGAACATATTGGCAGGAGGTCTCAGAGAGACGACTGGGACATCTTTCAGCCGTGTGTAAGAACAGCAGCCTGAGGAATCAGACTCACGTTTCCATCAGCAAGTTTGTCCTCGACCGCATCTTCGTCTGCGACAAACGCAAGATCTTGTTCTGCCAGACGCCTAAAGTGGGGAACACACAGTGGAAGAAGGTCCTTATTGTGCTGAATGGTGAGTACTGGTAGGATGTACTGGTGTTTTACTGGGAGTTTCTTTAAAGAATAAAGCTTAAGTTTAAACCCGTTTAAAGTTGATGTTTCTGGATGTCATTGCTGCTGCAGGAGGTTTTCCCAGCGTGGAGGAGATCCCAGAAAACCTTGTCCATGACCACGAGAAAAACGGCCTCCCCCGCCTCTCATCGTTCTCTCCGCAGGAAATAACAGAAAGGTTAGTTAGCAAAAGATCTCTAGAGGAGATGAGGGACGTTTGTAGAGTGATGAGAATGGAACTAGGGGATCTACTATCCGTCAGGAGAAGATCCAATGTTTAACCTTTGATTCCTTGATGTGTGCCTCCACAGATTAGACTCTTACTTTAAGTTCTTCATCGTCAGAGATCCCTTCGAACGTCTCATTTCTGCATTCAAGGACAAGTTTGTGAAGAACCCCCGCTTCGAGCCTTGGTACAAGCACGACATCGCCCCGGCCATCATCCGGAAATATCGCAAAATCCACCGCGAAAGCGACCTTGCCGCCTCCGGCCTGCACTTCGAGGACTTTGTCCGTTACCTTGGAGACGCAGAGGGCCGTCGGCGAATGGACCGGCAGTTCGGGGAGCACATCATCCACTGGGTGACCTTCGCGGAGCTGTGCGCGCCGTGCGAAATAAAATACAGCGTGGTCGGGCACCACGAGACTCTGGAGCACGACGCGCAGTACATCCTGAGAGAGGCCGGCATCGAGCAGCTTGTGTCGTATCCTGCCATTCCTCCCGGAATCACGCACTACAACAGAACCAAGGTGGAGCGCTACTTCTCAGGGATCAGCAAACGGGACATCAGGCGTCTTTATGCGCGATACGAAGGCGACTTTCAGCTTTTTGGTTACCTGGCTCCAGAGTTTCTACTCAACTGAAATAGCGCTGATTTTAAAAGAAATAGCTATGGTGATGCAATAGAGCGTCCTGTGTGCCATAAGAACTGCAGACTTTAAAAATAAAAATTAACTCCTGCTTTAATTTTGGCAGATTTGGTTAAAAATACTCTAATGTTGATAATAAATGTATTTATTTGGGGATGTTTTCTGGAGCATAGGGCATGGGTTAAGGTATATTACCATGTGACAGGCACAGAAGCTGAAGAATAAAGGTTTTTATTAGCTAATTCAAAGAAAAATGGTAAATTAAATCAGCTGTGAATGGAATGACGACTGAATTATATTAAATATCCATGCCCGTCTCCTTTTACTTGTGATCCAGGTGTACAGCCTTGTAAATGTAGCGATATTATTGCACTGTTTGGATGACCAGATCCAGAGATGTATCCTATTGGAGGAAGTTATGGATGAAGCTCAAGGTGCATCTCCATAAATTAGATGATTGTGGAAGTTAATTTCAATAGTTCGACTGAATCTTTGGTACTAATTCCTCACGGATTTACGATATTTTAGATGCACTTGTGAGCGGAAAACAAGTGAAGGAAGAAATGAAGGCTTTTATGACTTATTGAGCAACATGACCTTTTTTACACTTTTATAGTAGTTTGCTTCGACCATGGCAGATGAATGTCCTGTCCAACAGAAACGGCATAACAGCTGGAATCGCCGACTACCTTCATGCTGCTGCGAATAAAAACTGACACTGGGTTTTAAAAGCTACCTTTTTCTACATGAAATGTAACACTAAAATGTTAACATTATTTGCAATTAAACATTTGTATTAAATGTTTCTCTTTATTGTGTTAACTTGGTGATTTGGGGTTGCAGGTTTGGAGTTTCTGAGTTGTGAGGAATTGTTGGGTCCCTGTGGGATGTTGTTTCAGACACTGGGTTAAAATAAAATGTGTAAAATACTTTTGCTGTCCATAAATGTTTTCTTTTTTTTTCTTTACACGGCGATCGTTTCTGATTTTTGGGGTTGTTTGCTTATGAGGATCAATATTTTTGTTAATCTCAGACAGGAGGTTAAATGCACTAATCATCAATGTTAATATGTTCTTTTTTTATCTTTCAAAGATTCATTTGACAATTTGCAGATCAGACATTGGATTAAGAGCCAAACATTAGAGATATTTCCTAATAAACCAGAGGAAACTGCTTGAATCATGTTTATTAGAAATAGGAATTGGAATTAAACTGTAACTATGATGACAACAGCTGGAGCAGATTACTAAACCCATCTCAATATTAAAAAAAACAGGCAAACTAATTTTAATATTTTTCCCCACATGTATTATCCCCCATATAGGTTAAAAAAGCTGAATGCCAGAGTTGAAGGGCGTCTGTAGGGGATCTTCTTCATATGCTATGAAATTATGTACACTTGCAAACTTACTGGAATAACGATAAAATCAGCAGTTTGTGGGCTTTCTTTAGACTGTGACCAAAGGATGTGGATACTTGGAGATGTTATGTCCTTGAAATTAAATTCCTGCAAAAAATACTTTGTTTTGTTGGCATCATCTGCAGGAAAAAAGTGTATATTTAAAAACTAGAGATCTATGGAGCCTCCAAACAAGACATATTTGATCAACGAACTGTTGTCATCCTGCTATTTAGCCAATGTCCATTTGATACATGGGAAATCAATGAATTTGACCAGATATGGAGTCCCTTTTTGAACGTTCTAACCAGATTAGACCTGAGAGACTGATCAGTATTGATCTTTACTGTCTTGTTTCAATTAATCCAATATTTTTGTTGTATCATTTTCTCTTAATTCTGGCCTTTCAAAAATATGGTTAATGCTAAATGTAATATTACTACATGTGTTGCTACATGGAGATAGTGGGTGAGGTGAAAAGAGCAATATTGTACATTGGATGTAGATTTTGTATGGACATACATTCTGAATATATATATATATCATAAGTAATGCCCCTGACCCACTTCCAGATGTTTGATCGAGCTGAAATTTTGCATGTGACGTTACTTAAATCTCTTTAGATTAAATAAGAAATTACAGCTCTGAACTATTTGTGGTTTCTGACTTACAGGTGTTTGAACTGAGTAAAGTCTGAAATGGAGCCTGTTGAGTGTGGAGCAGTGATCCGATTTTTCTATTGGAAAGAACTCACACCCCACTTTTAATGAAATGAAAGTAATTTATGGTGATGATGCCCGTTATATGACCTTGCAAAATGTTTTACAAGGTCATATTATGGGACATTATCACTATAAGTTACTTTCATTTGATCAAAAGTCTCCCATTGTGTGCGTCCCTTCAAATGAAAAACTCAGACTTGACTCAGTTTTAACACCAGTAAATCAGAAACCACAATTAGTTAAGAGCTGTAATTTGCTATTTAATCTATAGAGATTTAAAATAATTCACATGCAAAATTTCACCTTGATCAAACATCTGGAAGTGGGCCAGGGGGATTACTTATTGAACGCCACTCGTATATATATATGTATGCATATATGTATATATATACAAAAAAAAAGATTTTATTTGACCAGTAAATGGTTTCACTTTTATCTGCACAGTAGATATTGTCTTAATTTTTTTGGATAATGTCCCTTTTGCAGGTTGCTGAAGCGTCATCACACTATGTGCTGCCATTAATAAGCCTCTGTCTTAACTCTGGATGTTTACCTATTTTTATAAGAATAAGGGTCAAGAAAATTTAGGTTATGTGTTCAGTTTACTTGATTGTTACCAAGCTTTAACCATTGAGCTGTAAATTTAAAGCTGTTGCCTCTACCGTATTATCCACTTTTAAAATGCTCCACTTGAAGGGAAACGGACCCCTAGAATAGGCCTCCACCACCATGCTTGACAATGGGAATGGTTTTAGTTTTAAGATTGTGACTTAGGAAACGTCTCCTTTTTGTTTAATCAGCAACAAACTTTTCTTTTTATCTTTTATTTTTACTTTAGCCCATCAGGTTTGGATGCAGTTCATCTTTGTTAGTACCCTCAGTTTATGTTTATGTTAAACAGGCGTCCCTGTTGAGTCAGTGACTCTGGTTGTCTAGAATCAAACTGATTACCACCTTGAGCGTTGCTTGTTTCTGCTTATTCTTTCATAAACTTTAATTTCTCATTCACCTTGAACCCCGCTTGGGATAAGCGTGACAGAAAATGGATGGATGGATGGATGGATAGATAGACAAACCTTACAAACGTTTAGTGGAAACAACCATGAGGATGCAATTTATACTTAATTAATATCACATATTTGGATCATTTTTGGATACATATACCAAAGAAAGTTACAAATGTATAAACACTGACTTTCAGCTGAGAGGGAATAATCTGAGAGAGATAAACTGGGTTTAAATGTCACTGAAAGATATCCTGGCTTGCAGTAATCAAGGACATCAACAAGGTGGCGTTAACGTACTTGAATAGCTTGGTGCAAACTTGATCTAAATTCTACTGCATGGGGCGATGCAATTACACCTTGGATTTTATAAATGTCATCCATGCTGTTTGCAAAACAAACATGTCAGACATGAGTTGGCAGTAATCACAAATCCACACATGAGGAGGCGTTAAGAATAGTCTGCAAAGACTAAACCATACTTGGGTTGTTGTTGTTGTTTTTGTTTTTTAATACTGTGAAGTTTTGGACTCCTATACTCGTTTTATACCCTTTAAACCTACCCATACATACTAAATATTTTTATATGTTTTCATGTTTCAACCACAAGCTGTGCTTTTTATAAGATTTGAAATGATGGACAGATGCAAGGTTGTGGGAGGGAAGGTGAAAATCTTTTCCTGTTTTTTTTTATCACTGTGATAAGTCAGCCTGTGCAGCTATGAATTTTTAATGTTCTTTTCTTCCTACAGATTCTCAACTTGATTTAGTTGGAATTTTATTTCTGGGACTTTGACTAGGCTGTTCACACCTGAATTCAATTGCTGAATCTACTCCAAATGTAGTCAAGTTCTATAGAGGCCTTTTAGTGTCTAATTGGGTGTATTTTAAGCTAGGATGCATTAAAAAACTTAGGATTGTAGATTGGAGATCCCTTGCTTGGTTGTACTTTTTCACATCTCTGCAAGAATCTCAAGTCTTGCAGTCCTAACATGTTTTTGAACTTCTTTGCAGTTCCACTGGCCTTCCTGTTAACTCCAACCAGCTTTTCTTTCCCTTTTTAAGAGAAGCATCCCCAAAGCATGAGGCCGCCACCACCATGCATTCATTTGCAGCGTTATATCTCAACAACATGAAGTGTTTAGGCTGTAGGTATTTCTGAATTACTCTTTACATACTCAAATGATGGATCAAAAGGAGCTCAGAGTTGTTTAAAGCTTGGGACATGATTATAACCTGTAAATGTCACAATGTACATGTCTATTTCTGCTTTTTTTGTTTCATTTTATTGTTCTTTATTTATGTCCCATATATGGTCTCAGCATTAGTTCATAAGTTTCTTACCTCTTCTGTTCCCTGTGTATTACAGTTTATTCCCTTTATTTCATTTGTTAGTACTTTTATTGGACTTCCTCCACGTTAATTAGGGATCCTCCAACAGCTTCCCTGCTTGCACTTTGCCTCAGCTGTTCCATATTTCTACTGATTAGCTCTTATGGTTCCTTTATCTTCCACCTTTGCCTCAGTATTTTTCTCCTGCTCTCTCCCTTTTTTTAATGCCGGATTCTTCAGTTCCCCTGTCTCTTGCTAAGGTTGTGCTCCATGCCCTGCTCCACCTCTGATTTCGCTGTATTTCCTCTTTTGTGTAATACTAATAAACTCTTTCTTTCTGCATTCCAGTTCTTCACAACCTACCCACAGCTTTCTCCTTGATCTGTCAGCTGCTGTCCTTGATTTTCATGACAATTTTTTTTTTTTTACATGACAACAAGGGAACAAGTTCAAGGCCTAGTCACTGTCCTTCTCCTCTCTTCCAGCCTGCCTGACTGGTTCATCTTGTCTTCTTATTTGCATGTCTTGGTAAAGTTTGTTCAAGCAACATTTCAACTTTCTCTGTTTCGACATTGTTTTGATATTTAACGGACATCCTGCCTCCTGTCAAGGCTTTGTTAGAAAGCATTCAGAGCATGACGGCATGATGCGTATACAATTTATGACAATGTGTGCAACTGCAGAATAACTTGACATAATGATGCAGAGATGAATGAAATAGATCAATACACAGAGAAATTGTACAGCCCTTAGTACGACAGAAAAGCCTCCAAAGATATTGATTTTTTTGCCTGTTTATTATCAAGATGATCAGTTCGGTAAATTATATAAGTAAAAGCAGCCAAATATAAAAGGTCAAACCCCCATTTATATGTTCCTGCTGTGCAGACACAACATCCCTCCTGTTCACCTGCCACACCCATGCTTACCAGTGTGGACATTTTAGGTCTCATTGTGCACATGTCCATGTGGATGTATTGTGATCTGGGATCCAGTCTGCCAGAGGCTCACCTGTCTACCTCCAGGGGTGTTTTTATGTAAACACCGCTATGTGGGCCGATGTTGGTTTGACGGTTCAGTTAGGAATTTAGTGTTATCATCAGCGTATCCAGGCTCAGTGAGGAGAGACCCAGCCCTTATCTCTCTGTGTGCAGCCAACCAGCTTCCTGTATTTGAGGTATTCTCTAATAAAACAGTGTGAAGCCAGAGAAGAGCAGACAGAGGAGAAGCTCAGCTGGAGAAGCTTCACCTTCAGCATAAAAGACAAGTGCATATTAAGCAGATACACGTCTAAGACAATAAAGGATTGGAATATAAAATGTTACAAAGGAACTACAAATGGTTAAAGATTAAACCCAAAATCACTAAAGATTGAAATTAAAAACGTCCTGATTTTTGACCCAAATAGGCTTCTAAAAATGATTTTTCATTGAGTAAAATGCTAAATTTAACCCAAAATAAAATGCAAGCAAACCTAGACAATACATAACCAGAAATTATCTCCAAGAATCTGATGCAAATAAATGATCAGTATTAGACACATAGGTCATATATTAAAGTGGAAAATGTGGTTTGTTGAAAAGAACACAATCAAAAACATAAGACATTAAATAACTAAATAGAACATACACATGGGAGCATTAGGAGAAATGCAAATTTGGAGCAAATGCAGCATTATATGAATACATTGAAAGTAAGAAATTAATTCCAATCTTCTTATGTGATGGGTTTTTTAAAAAAAAAGCGAAAAATTAAATAAAAATATTTCTTGTGAAGTTGTTTCTTGAAAGTTTGATTTATTCTTCTTTAATTACTGAATGATGCACAGAAAAAAAGAAAAAAAAAGAAAAAGTCTAGTAATTCCAGGGGATTTTTATACGGAAGAGAATTAGGGCCACTTAAAAAAAAAATAAAAAGTTAACTGAGTTTTTAATTTTATTTCAGTATAATATGAGAAAAAAGTCAGAATTATGACTTTAATCTCAGAATTTGACCTTTTTTCTCAAAATTCTGAATTTTTTCCCAGAATTCTGACTTTAATCTCAGAATTCAGAATTTTCTTTCTCAGAATTCTGACTTTAATCTCAGAATTCAGAATTTTTTTCTCAGAATTCTGACTTTAATCTCAGAATTCTGACCTTTTAAAGTCATAATTTTGAGGAAAAAAGTCAGAATTCTGAGATTAAAGTAAGAATTCTGAAATTGAAGTCAGAATTCTGAGAAAAAAAGTCAGAATACTGAGATTAAAGTAATAATTCTGAGATTAAAGTCGGAATTCTGAGAAAAAAGTCAGAATACTGAGATAAAAGTAATAATTCTTAGATTAAAGTCAGAATTTTGACTTTTTTCTCATATTGTACTGATTTAAAATTTAAAAATCAGTTAACTCTTTTTGTTTTTTTTCCAGTGTCCCTAATCCTCTTCCGTACTTTAGAAATGTTTTTAATCGCAGTATAAAGTAGTTCTATATTGTTTATAGATAAATTTGGTGCTTTTATTTTGAAACGGCCAACCGGAAGCGGTCCGTTGACCATTAGCTTGACCAGAAGGACAGCAGGAGCGAGGCAGCAGCAGCAGCAGTAGCACTTGGAGCTCGCTGCCACCTCAACATGGAGTAGCTGGAGCCGAGCTCTTAGTTCCGAAGAGCGGGTTCCGTTGAGAGGAATACCCGGCGCCATATATTTTATTTATCTGCCAAAAATAAAAATTATAAAAAATATATATATAACACGCAAATGGTAAAGCGGCTATATTTAGCAGAGTCACTGGGAAGCCCGGCTTTTATTTGAAAAGATGGCGAACGACTCTCCAGCTAAAAGTCTGGTAGACATAGACTTGGCTTCATTGCGGGTGAGTGTTTTTTCCCCTGCTTCCTTTATCATTTTTTTTATATATATATTTCCAGTTTCTCTGTAAAGCCGCCTGTCTTTAAACCCTACATATGAGGAGGTTTTAGTTTGTGTTTCGGCTTTTTCCCCCCTGTTAAAGATGAGTTAAAAACGAGCCGTTGGGCTCATCGAGGTGTTGCCAGTGTCTGCTTTTCCTTTGTTCGAGATGCGTTTAGCATGAAGGGGAGACCAGGGCGCAACAGCTGGCGTTCACCCGACAATGTTATCAATTTTAAGACGTAGCAACATTTGATATTTAACCACCCTGTCCCCTTTTCTCTACTGCAGGATCCGGCTGGGATATTTGAGCTTGTGGAGGTAGTTGGAAATGGCACCTATGGACAAGTATACAAGGTTGGTTGGAGGCTCACTGCATGGCCTGTCCTCTTTTATCTATCTGTTTCTGTTTTAAACTACAAGAACAAAGGAGGGGAGGTTATATTGGAGGGTTTAGGTGGACCACATGGAGGGACTGTTGGATTTAATGGGGAATGAGCAACATTTGTTGCAGCATTTTCAATAGTTGAGGATTAGAGGCTGAATCAGATCATCTAAACTCTGATGCAACACCCATCTTACATTAACCACCTTACTAAAAATGAGATAAGAAAACCAGCATTGAGTAACAAATGCTTTTCCTTCTAGATGAGGCTAGCCTCATAATCTTCTGTCCAAAACATTTATCCTGAAAGAGATTTATTTTTTTATTTGTGCCAATATTTTGTGTGTAAATAAAACATTTGGACCCATTTAGGTCTCCCCACTTGCATTTAAATATTAGTAAACATTGCGCCTATAAATTGGGAAGATATAGGTTGTGTTTTTCGCAGCACATTGTCCTGATCATAAATCTGAAATGACCGTTATCCTATATGTTCAAGCGTTTATTCAAATTTAGACCATAAAAAATAACATTACACAATAACCCAGAAGTACTGTACAGCGGTAATTCCTCAAATACTATTTAATGGGACTTGATATTTGAAAGCCTTCCTGACATTCCTTCCAAGGAATCCTATGAAATGACAATATTCCAAAAACTAAAATAGCAAAAATTAGTTGTGATACTGATCTTTAAGTAGATTGGACTAGATATATCCTGATGAAACTTTTTCCTTTCGGATATGCTGCTGATATTGACCCAACATGATATCGATACAAATCATTTATTTTAATAATTGGCTTGATAGTGTCATATTAATAGAAGAGAGAACAATTGTCAACAACAACAGGTATGAGAGCAAAACCTATTTATAATCAACCAAAAACTCTACAGAAGCAGGGAGGTATATTCTGATACTCGTTTTCTGGACTAATATTGGACAGATTTTCGTAACAGATCAGAGTATCTCTTGATTGGATTTGCATATTTTCATTGGAAAAATAAAAAGAAAGTGTATTAGATCGATTCCATCCATTTTGTTTTAATTTCTCCAACAGAAGTGCAGAGTTTGAATTGAAGATTGAATTGATTCCTTTTATCTGCATCTATATATTTGAAAGCAAAGTGTTCCAAAACAATGACTACCTGCTTCTTTCCTCCAATTTCTGCTGCTTCTTGTTGCTAGTTGCCATCTTCTTAGTCAGGATGTTAATAATAAGGAGGGAAAGGAGGAAAATACCAATAAATATGAATAGGTCAACACAATATATAGTAGATATATAGTCACCACAATCCTCAATGTAGTCTGTCAGTTTTCCTTAGACCTGCTAGTATTGCACTATATATTATCGTATAGTATAATTACCCTGCAGTTATGCGTTAAAGATAATTTAAATGTTTGGTGCTTGTTCATCGTATTAAAAAAGAATAAGATTTTCTAAACAAAATATATCAAAAGAGCCGTATTGCTACATAAAAAGTGGGTTTTGTAATCAAAGCAGCTACAGACAAAAAGATGCAACTTTTTTGTCGAGGTTATTTCTGGGATAGAAATTATGATACTATTGTTTTTCTCCAGTGTCTGGTTTGAGGTCTATGTTTGCAGTTAATACATAATAGGAAAAAAAAATAGATTTGACAGAGATTCTATGTCGCATTGAACAGATCCACGTGCTGATGTAGGAAATGCAACATTTTTAACCATGTATTTAGTTTGATAAAACTCATGATTGTGAATTTTTGGTGAATATCTGGGTTTTATTTTGCATGTTTAAACCGAATACCGATAGACGGTTGATCTGAAGCAAACAGGAACAACGATTATCTAACAATCTTTCACTGTTTTTCTACCTGTTTGAATTTTTCCTCCTGATTGTTTACATAATTCACCACTGGTGGAAAAGTAAGGGTTTATTTGACAACAGCGTCCCTGTGTGCAGGCTTAGCTTTTAGCATACCAGAAACACCCCTAGCTTTTCCTGTTGTGTTCATTGGCAATTGTATATGTAGCGCTGCATGCAAAGCTGGGTTAACAGTATTTTTACAAACATGTTTGCAGCACTTTTGGCAGTGGCAGCATGTGATACAGCACTTCTGTGTGTGTGTGTGTTTTTTCTGTTTGCCCATTTAATTAAATGTAAATAAGTATTAAAAGTGAAAAACTTTATGATGAACTAGATTTTAAAAAATGTGAAAATGATGAAGAAATTCTAATAGATTTGCTTAATTTGAAGAGGGGAAGTCTTTTCTTTTTCGTCATGAATTGAATAAAAATTTGAAACAATGAAATAAAAAAATAATAGCTGTTTTTGCTGGTGCTAAAAAAATGTATAAAACTTGAATCTGGCTCTCTTGGCCTTCTGCATATGGTGTTTTTCCTGCTTAAAACGGCGATTGCTTACTGCTGACAGACACGGGGGAGAGAGATTCATTTCTGTGTGCATGTTGGAGAGGCAGTCTTTTGCTTTTCTTGCAGCTTACTTATGAATTGGGGCTGGATTTTCAAATGGCATTACCCAACAGATATGTCCAGTTTATCAAGCATGCCTTTGATGGTTAATGTGTTTTGCAAGCCTTCAGCAGTGCCCCAGTGACCTGCATTCAATAATCCCTGAGTCACTCCTCTCCCTTAAATTAAACCCTGAGCTCATGTCAGCCTTTGTGTGCTGATGTGATTTTCTTTTATTTATTTTTTATTTGAAATCGACTCTTTTAAGGTGGATTCTTCCATGTTATCTTCCCACCACATGCTTTTTAACTGGACATATCATGGGAGAGAGAATTACAGCCTCTCCCTCTTTCTGACCCTTTTTAATCTCTTCTCATTTGGTGTTCAGCCCTAATTCTATTTGCAAATGCAGTCACGTGAGAATGGAGCTCATAGTCGAGAGCATTTTTAGATTAGCTCGCGGTTCACACAAAAGATGTAGTAGTTGCAGACAAGAATGCCCGAGATAAGCCAAAGCTTCTCCAGTGAAGTCGCTGCCCAGATCTCTGCAGTGGTTTCCTGTCGATCGGCTGTCGATTTAGCGGACTGGCCGTCACGTTTAACCTGGGTTGGGCGTGTGGGGCGAAAGCATGTGCAAGTGCAACTGAGAGAAGAGCAGCTGTCTGGTTCTAGACAGAACCTGCCCTGAGGATTTCACAAAGCTCGGCTTGTCTCCGCGGTCGTTTGGGTCTCTCATTCTGTCAGTCACCGGGAGCTGTAGAAAGGGGGTGTTTGTCTGCAGCGATTCAAAAGTCCGAACCGCCTGAATAATCGCAACAGGCTCCCCTCTAGCTAAAAAACTGGGAGGAGTTTAGTCTCCCACTGAGGCCTTTTCTGCTTTGTCCACTGCTTGGTCACACTTTACAAGCCCCCATTCTCTCTCTTTCACTGCAATGTGACCGAGCTTCTTCTCTTTTAGGAGAATTAGGCAACAAACTTCATTTCTTTTTCTATTTTTTAAACGCTTGAATGTTTCTGATGGGCTCTCATTTAGATGTTTAATGTATTAACAGTTAAGGTCTTTCTAAGCTAAGGGTACAAATACAGGTCCTCTGTTAAGAAAGTGATTACATTAAAATAAGATGCCACATTTGGCAGGAAAAAAATGTTCAAAATGTCATTTTTGTGCGACAAAAATACAACAATATCCTCCAATAGAATCGTGGCTTCATAACCTTACCTTTAAGGAAGGAGCTATCTTTTAGGCTTCAAATGCTTTGTCTATATTGAGTTTTTTTTTTTTTTTTTTTTGTGGCCACGCTGTGCTGCTGGCTCCCTAAACCTGCTCAGTCTGTCAGGATTACAGCCATCGCCCCTGGAGTGGTGCCAGATTACAGTCAGCTCCTGAAAACACAGCAAAGCAGGTTTTCATCGGGTTTCTTTGACAGACAGCTGTGATGAAAATTAGCTTCAGGGCTAAAACGCTCTTTTTAAGTCACTTATTTTTGTTTGGACGGCTAGCTGATTTGCAAGGATTTGGTAATGCGTCGTGATCTCATTCCAGTCTGTACATCAACAGTCGTATCGTGTAAAAACCAACCGGTTGTCTGGGAGTATTTCTCATACTACCGTTCCTGCTGTTAGTCACGGTGTTTCTAAACGTTTGTGATCAGTGTCTCAGAGACAAAGAGCCTCTTGCGAAGCTCTCCTTGCTCATCAGAGCGAATACCTCGTCCGGCCTCTCTTTGGATGTAATGATTCAAAAGAAGGGAGGAAAAATTACTCAGGATAACACTGAGAGAAACATGAATCCTTGAATTGTGTGTGGTATGCAGAGAAGATTCTCCCTGCTCTTCAGAATCACCATATATAGTCGCGCCCATGTTGACCCATCTGCTACTCATCCGTGGGGTGTGCCAAGGCTGTGCCCTCTGTTATTTTCACACTGACTTTCACAGTGTTTCGGAAATTAATGTCAGAATTCTCAGTTTCAGGTTCTAAAATGGAAACCAATCATGGTTTCCCTGCATGGTTTCTTGAAGCTGGGGAAATCTGCTAAAGCTTGGATCGAATCTCACCAGCTTCCAGCTCTTGTTTTTCATGATTTGTTTGCCTGTCAGAACCCTGCATTATGATTTAAAAAAATTTCTATGAAAGAGAGCAACCTCTTGAATCTTTATTGGCTGCAAACATGTTTTTAATGATTGAACCTTTAAGGAAGGGGGGTTGGATAGTAGATGTCAGCAGACTTGGGGTTAATCCTCATCGACCCCTTTGCAGCTGCATGTAGGATTTCCACCAGCAGCCCTGCTGCTAAGAAAGCAAATCTCTCTTCTGCAGTTTGTAGAAGTGACTGAAACATGCAAGAACTTTGAAACCCCGGTGAATATATAGGCGAGTATTGATCCATTGTATTTAAATATAAAAGAATATGAGTTAACATGTAGGAAGGGGGCGTGATGAGTTGATCTTTATGTTGGAATTATGGTAGTCATTGTTCTGTTGCTGAGCCCTTGCCTGCTTGTCTAATTAATCTTTACTAAA